GCGGCGGCGGCGGCGGCGTGACAGTTGACAGTGAGGACGGCATTCTTACTCGCTGCATAGCTGCCGCGTACCGTTCCATTGAGGCGAGATCGGCTGTATCGGAGTTTTCCGTGACGGCCAGTGTGGTGGAGTTGTACAACGAGGCAGTGACGGATCTTCTTGCTCTGGATAAGAACAAGCCGCTGCAGGTGGGTCGCGAGGGGCGGAGGGGGGATAGAGGAGGGGATGGGGAGTGGGAGGCATCTGAGCCAAGAAGCAAAGGGCCAACTGCCGGGGTGGGTGGCCGGGGACAGGATTTGGGTGTTTTGGGGGGCCAGGGAATAGGGTACGGAGGTGTACGGGATGAAGCGGTTAAGGTAGGTACGGGGTTGAGGAGTTGGGTATCGTGTACGGAAAGCCCAACCAGTTACAAGTTACAAGTTCCGCACACAAGTGCGGGTGTGTCCGTAAAAGCCGGGGGCCCCGTTATTGGTATTGATGCGGGTACGCGGGAGGTCATCATCCTCCTCCCTCCTCGTTAGCGTCAGGGCGAAGGAGCGTCGTGCTGAAGCGCGACGTGCCTGGCCTCCCAAACTTCCGAGAGGTACTTGGCCAATGCCAGGGGTGGCGCCTCAGTCATAATGCTGCGCACCTTAAAGACTAAGCCACCATCGTAGTTAATCCATATGCTCGGGGCATTCATGAAAACCATGATAGAACCACAATGTGATCACTTCAAGTGGCCCCTATCGGGATCGAACCGATGACCTTGGCGTGCCTAGTTCTATTAGCACCACGCTCTAACCAGCTGAGCTAAGGGGCCATGCGACCAAGTAAATTTTGAGTTCTAACAACCCACCCAACCAGGAGTGGCAGGTGGGGTGAGGCGTGAGTGCCGGAGATGTGCAGACCGTGATTGTGTGTCACGGTGTGTATTTGAGGACTTTCCCCTTCCCCCTTCTCGTCTCCTCCTCCTCCTCCCCCTCCTCGTCTCCTTCTATATTGAGGTGGTCAGTGTCAGGTTTCCTTCCCCCCTTCCCCCCCTCTCCCCCCCACCTCTTGATAACTCCCTCTTCCCCCCCATTCCGGGGATTACACAAGCCGTCACTGGTCAGTAACATTTTCCTGTCAGCATTTCTCTTCTCCTGGATGAATTACCCATCTTTGGTATCTGCTCCATTCGCCCGTGGTTCGTCTTACATCCCTTCCCCCCTAACCCTCCGTTGCCGTCCAACCCCTACTCCCTCTTACCTCCGTAGATGCACATCCCCATACCGTACATACCCCCCATTATTTCTCCCACCCCCAACCCCCCCAACCCCTACTATTTACCCCCACACAAACACCCCCCCCCCACACACACACACACAAACACCACACACACACACACATACACACACACACAAACACCCCCGCAACCCCGTAGGTGCGAAAGGACTCCCGGGACGGCTTTGCAGTAACTGGCCTCACACAGGTCAGTTGCCCAACCGACGTGTCGGCCGTACGGTACATGGTACGAGCACTGCAGTACCGCCACACTCGAGGCCATAAACTGAACGAGTACAGCAGCCGGTCCCACTGCCTCATGACGTTTGTGTTTGCGTCCAAGGAGAGGGGCCCGGAAGGCCAGATGGGCGCCAAGGGCGGGGTACGAAGGTGAGTGGGGGGTGGGGGGTGGGGGGTTAGGGTGGGGTGGAGGAAAGAGCGGGAGTATCTAAATGGTCGCGTTGTGTTTTGCCACGCACTACGCACTAACCTTTCGTGGGTTACCTCTCCCGTTCTGGCCGAAACCCTAGACGGCAGCATCACGGTAGGAACAAATTTATCATTATAAAACTAAAATGAAACGCACGACTCCTTTGTTTCCTGCCATCCGCTGACGTGCGCCATGGCGGGAAACATATTCGATGGTAGTTTTTTTATGGTACTGTACGGCTGTACGACAGGTACGGCAAGTTGGCGCTCGTTGATCTTGCCGGCAGCGAGCGGCTCAAGGATACTGGCAACAATGAGAAGGGTGCCGTACGGGAGACGGGAGCCATCAATAAGAGCCTCTTCACACTGGGCCAGGTGGGTTGGGGGGAGGTGAGGGAGGGGTTGAAACGACGTGATTTGTTGTGTTCTGACGTGTCTGGTGCAGGACTTAACCGCGTGGCGCACGTGCTCGAGATTTCACACATGCGCAACTTGTACGGCATTTAGTGTGGGTGTGAAGTACATATGTATTTCCCAGTAAACTGAGGTTCCCAGTAAACTGAGCTGCTGTGTGTGTGTATGGGGGGGGGGAGACGGGTTGGGAAAAGGAGAAATTGTCGTTGCTCTGGCCTAAATCTGAAGTAGGGTTTCGCATGCGATCAGTAATCGAGTCTTATTTTGCAGGAGGGGCCGAACTATAAATGCACGGATAAATACGGCATATACGACATGCTTTTCCCTCATTTTTCCTCAATTTCCCCTCCCACTCACCCCCCCACACCCCCTCCCCCCAGGTTCTGGGTGCTCTCTCAGCAAGGAGCTGCGGCAACCCCGCCGCCTTTGTTCCGTTTCGTGACTCGAAGCTGACACAGCTGCTGTGGGACGGTTTGCGGGGCAGTGGCCGCTGCCTGATGTTGGCGTGTCTGAGCCCCCTGCGGTCCGCTGCGGAGGAGTCCCTCAACACCCTGCACTTCGCCACCATTGCGACCCGCATCAAGGCAGAGCCGGTGGTGTTGCTGGACCCCCAGGTGCGTGTGTGTACGACGTGTACGACATGGACAAAGGGGTTTTGCTTTGGGTTGCGGGGGGGGGGGAAATGGAACAGGGCAGGTGAAAACGTGTGTGTGTTTTGCGTGTGCGTCCGCTGAGGTTGTGTTCGTGTCCTCATGAATAAATCGTTTTGATTTGATTTTCCTCCAGTTGCCTGACAAACTAAAGGCTGTACAACACCGTGCCGTTCATTCTAATACACAAAATACACAATGTCAGCTGTGTACCTGTCTGCACGCAAAAACAGTGAGACACTGCCCCCGGGGCTCTAACAAACCACAACGGTAATAACTGAAACCGACAGGATCAGTTGGTTCTTGACCTAAGGAAGACGATCAACCAACTGAGGGAAGAAAACCGCCAACTGGCGGGAGCACTACAACAGCTGTCGCTGGGAGCCGACGCCTCTGCCGTACTGGCTACGCTGCCGGAGCCGCTCCGAGCGCATGCCGCCGGCAGTGCCGGCGGCAGCGGCGGCGGCTCCGCTGCCGGGAGCGGTACGGCGTCTCCTGTCACCCCCGATCAACCGACCACGCCTTCGACGCCGCAGCGGCAACTACAAACGCAGCAGCTACAGCCTCAACAGCAGCTACAGCCGTCTGCGTCGGCGGGTGGACGCGGGCGGCAGCCGTTTGAGAGCGCGGTGGCGGAGGCGGCAGCAGCCGTCGGCAACGTGGTGACCACGCCGCCGCCGCCGCCGCCGCCGGCCCCGGCCTCGCAACAACAGCCGCAGCAGCAGCAGCTACAACAGCAACAGGCACCGCTGCTGCAGAGCGGTACGGCAGGGCCGCTACGTGCGTCGTACGGCAGCGGCGGCGCCGCGGCGCTGTACCAGCAATCCTCACAGCAACAGTACCAGCAGCAGCAGCAGCAGCAGCCTGCGTCGTACCAGTCGTACTCTCAGCCCCAGCAGATGCGGCTCTCCGCCTCTGCGGCGGCAGTGGCCGAGGTCCCAAGTCCAAGTTACAGTGCGCCCCCCGCCACCTCGCGAACCCGCGGAAAACAGAACGGCCGGCCCGTCGCCGCCCAGGCGGCGTACGGCATGCCTGACGGGGCCGGCCGCAACGGCCGGAAGCCTGGCGCGCCAGGGAATAAGGGCTCTTCGCCTCGGTCAAAATCTGTGGGCCGTGGCGGCGGCGGCGGTGGCGGCGGGCGGCCGACGTACCTCACGGAGGATCCGGCGGCGTTGCTATTCGGCTACAGCAGCGCGCTACAGCCGCCGCCGCCGCTGCCGCCGCCAGGCAGCGGCAGCAGCAGCACCATGTCGCTGCCGGTGCTGGTGCCTACCCGGGGTGCACCCGGGGTGGTGCCGCCGCCGCCGGCGATGGCGGAGTTTCCGGAGCTGGCGGCAATGGAGGCGGAGTTCCAAAGCATGCTGGGCAACGGCGGCGCTGGCGGCGGTGCCCCATCGGCAGCGGCGCCGCCGCAACAAAGGCGCGCCCCGCCTGGATCGGGGCAAAGCGCCGGAGCTGGCGGCAGCAGCGCCGCCGCTGCGGTGGCGGCGGTGGAGGCCGAGGTCGAGGACTCCGGGGCAACCCGTCCCGACGTCCGAGCGTTGAAATGGGCGGAACGGAACGCGTGGTTTGGAACCGATTATGACATGACATCGTACGCGTACCAGGTACGGCATTGTCAAGCAATGTAGTTAGTAAAATATGCCCTAGTTGAGGCCGCCTGGCCTGGGGCTGCGACGGCCGTTTCGCTGTTGCGATATATCTGTACTTTATGTTCGGATATATGTACTTATTTTACTAGCATATTTTATGTAAAGATGGAAGTCCCGATTCCCCCATCGAAACCCATCGAAACCGCTTTTTCAGGTGCACGACCAGTTGGTGGATGTAGAAAGTGTGGATCCAACCTCGGATCTGTACTACATGGAGATCGAACGCCGCGTGGCTGAGAAGTTCCCGGAGCGCTGGGCGAAGTCAATGAAGGATCAGCTGCCCGGTGGTAGCGGCGCCGCCGCCGTCGCCGCCGTACGGCGAGCCGTACCGAGTCCCAACCGGCCACGCCCTGGCGACCCGCCGCGCTCCTCGCCGCCGCCATCGTACAGCGCGGCGCTTCGGGTCAACATTAAGGATCCGCTGGTGGCTGTGAGGAGCGGTAGCGGCGGGAGCCGAGACGTCGCGGCGTCGCTGGCAGCGCAGGCGGCGGCGGTGCGGGCACGGCAGCAGCAGCAGCAGCCACAAGGCTCTGCCTCTTACGATTCCATGTCGTACGAGTCGTACGGCGAGGCGAGTCAGCCTGAGACGCTGCTGTACGGCGTCGCCGTCGGCATGGGCGCCGGCATCAGCGGATCGGAGCCCAGCACGCCGCCAATGCAGGGGGTCAACCCGTTTAATGTTGGGGCGTTGCATGCCCTGGCACCGCCCAAGGCGTCGAAGCTGGCCCACTTGCCCGCAGCTGGTCAGGGCTTGGTATTGGTGCCGGCGGGGGCTGAGCAAGGCGGAGGTGCAGTGCGGGGTTCGACGACGATGGAGGTTTTGGCCGACCCCAACGCAGCGGAGCGAATTCAACGGGAGTATGCTCGGCAGCGGGCGATTGTGGTGGAGGAGCTGCGCAAGGCTAAGGAGGACGCGGAAGCAGAGCGGCAACGCATCTTGGCTCGGATACAGCGGGCGGCGGGGGGAAATAAGTGGCGCTAGGGCATGGTGCTTGGCACATTTGAGGGCGTTAGGGATAATAGTTAGCGTTTTGCGTTTGTTGAAAGCGGGGCGCGGGCGTGTTCTTTGGTTGGGTCATGGCGTTACATGGCTGGACGTTGATGGTCATGTGATGATAATGGAAGAAAACGGACGACCTTGCGGCTTCTGAAGGTATCAGGATCGAACTCCTTGAAAGTCCTTTGTTTGTCATCGGGATCCTTCGTCTATGACGTTGGCGTCGCCTCAACTTCTGGGGGTTTCCGCCCCCGACAGATACAAAAGATGCAAGTATAAAACAACATTCAAAATCTGGTTCATACGCACTTTACATATTTTATGGAATATTAGCTAAGTATATTTGCAGGTTGGACTTGTTCTTATAGAGAGCTAGCCGATATTTTTTTTCGTTGCCTTGTCCAGCGATGACGCTTCATTATGCACCAACAACACCTGAAGAAGAAGAATTGGCTCTTGCACTGGCGTTGTCGGCATCGTTGAGTTCGGCCCCAGGTATCTTGATGCAAGCGCCCGTGAGCACGGCTGTCGCTGCGGCAAACCACCTCAGCGCTCAATCGTAAAATTTAAGATGTTTAACTCTCATTAAGGCACTTGAATTCATCCTGCCCTCCGTTTTTCGTCCGGCTGCGACCGTTTCCCACTTGGCCCATCGCGGTAGCCAAAGCCGTAGGGAACCCTGCGCGCAGCGCCCGTGCCAGAGAGTCAAGCGGAAGCGATAGCTCGAACGATTGCGTGCGCAGGACCGACCAGGACCAAGCGACCGGTTTGCGATGCGCGTCCCTCCCCGCGGCCTTGCACATCTCTTCGTTAAACCTCAACCCCTCGCTCATCTACCCGCAATTGCCGCCACCTTCTCCTCCAGCTGTCCGGAAGCCCAGTCCACCTACAGCACCTCAGCGGCCCTCTCCCGCGGCCGCAGCATCTGCTAATTCCCTACTCCAGCGGGGCCCAAGCCACGCACACCCCCATCGCCACGGCGCTAGCAGTTCACCCCCGCGCAACGGCAGATGGCCCTCAGACGGCGCCTCCCCCTCCTCAGCTTCCTCAAGGTCATCCGCCCCAGACTTCCAGCGCGTGCCCGTACCGCCAGGCCGGTCGGTCTCCCCGTCGCGCCCGCCTCGACCGCCAGCGGCACAGCAACAGTACCCGCCGCCGCAGTTTTACCAACATGGCCAACCGCCGCAGCACTATCCAATCTACCCACCAGTGCACTCCTTGCCGCTGCCGCCGCCTCTCCAGTCCCAGTCCCAGTCTCAGTCCCAGCAGCAACAGCACTCGCAAAGCCACGCCCACCCCCACGCCCAGCAACTACCCCACCTCCCTCCCATCGTGCCGCCGGCAATTCCTAGGAGTAAGAGCGCCGCCGGGCCCAGTGGCATGTTCGGGGCAGCCGGCGGCAGCGGCGGCGGCACCAGCAGCGGATCTGGCAGCGGCGGCGGCAGTGGGAGAGGCAGCGGCGGCGGTCCCGGGGTCCCATCCGCGAGCAGCAATAGCGGCAGCGGCGCCGCCGCCGCCGGTGCTGGGTCGTCGTCCCAGCCGTCAACAGCTCGCTCGTCCATGCAGCTGCACTCCGACCCCGAGGCGTGTGCGGGCTGCGGTCGCGGCTTTGGGTTGTTCACCGCCAGCTGGGTGACCGGCATGGGCCGGAAGTGGCACCCGGGCTGCTTCAAGTAAGTGCTCACCCCTCCACGTGGCGTGCGCGTGTTCGGGAAGGAAAGAACACCTTAATTGTGACACGATTGTACACGTACGTGTGTGATTTACATGTGCATGTGCATGTGCATGTCTAGATGCGTGTGTGCTGCGTGTGGTTCTTCGAGGGGTTGCGCCTGAGGGGCAGAGGTACGGGTGGAGTGTAGAGTGTGGAGTGGAAAAGCGGCGAAAGTTTCCCCTTCCCCACACCTTTCCCCACGCACCTCTTCCTTTCCCCACACCCACCCACCCCACACACCGTATTCCTGATGCAACATGCATTTGTCTTCTCCTGGACTATATCCGTCTATCGTCTTTGGTATCTGCTTCACTCACCAGTGGTTCGTCGTAACCCACACACACACCGGGCCTCCCCCCCACACACACACGCACGCACCCCGCCCCGGGCTCTCCCGGAATGTCGTAGATGCGGCCTTTGCCAGGAGGCCATCAGCAACGGCCGAGGCGCGTACTCCTACCAGATGCACCCCGGGGACCCCCTGCCGTACCACCCCGACTGCTACCGCCACGTGCACCACCCGTTGTGCCACGTGTGCGGCAGCTACGTCGCCGCCAGCCCCGACGGCGTCATTTCCTATCGGGAGAACGGCTTCTGGCGGGAGAGGTACTGCACTACGCACGCGGAGGCGGCACTGACGCGGTGCTGTGCCTGCTCCAGACTGCAGAAGCAGGGTGAGGAGGGTTACTGAGTGTGCTGCAGCAGGTGGTTTTGGAGCTTGGGACTTTGGCAGTTGGCGTCCTTTGCATTTTACTTTACATCATGGACATCACCATCATCGTCTTCATCATCATTAAAACCATAATTATAAAATCTCATATGAAAATGAAGATGATCCTCATACCTCTCACACTTCCCATTCGCCATGTACGACGCTTCTCGCGTTCCCCATTTCCGCTGCCTTCTCCCTCTTTCTCCCCCTCCCCCCCCCGGAGCGCAGGTGAGGAGTGGGCTCCACTCCCGGATGGTCGACCGTTGTGTTTGCAGTGCCTGTCCTCCGTGGTGTTGGACACGCCGGATGCCCAGCCGCTGTACGACGAGGTGCTAGCCTTCTACGCGCGGGAGATGAACTTACCGCACGCTTACAAGGTGGATCTGTGTGTATGTATGTGTGTGCTAATGAACCGTGTATGTATGGTGTGTGTATGAGCGTATGAGTGAGCGTGCACGGTGGTAAATTAAGGGCGACAACAAGAAAAGAATGACGGCAACAAGAAAAGAAGGGAAAGCAGCAGCAACATGCATGTAAAGCTAAATCCTAACATCTCCCCTTGATGGTAAGATGATGTTGATGTTGATGGTAATGGTTTCTGGCGGTGGCTATGGTAATGGCGATGGCGATGGTGGAGCTTTATTTCTTAAGTGGACGTAAAACTGAACCGTTGTTCGCCTCCCTCCGCTCCGCCCCGTCCTCATCCCGCTGCCCCCCCCCTTCCCTCTCCCCCTTCCCTCTCCCCCTTCATCTCCCCCCCCCGGTTGCTCTCCCAGCCGCCGCTGCTGCTGGTGGATGGCCCCACACTCAACAGCCACGCGGAGGCGGAGGGTCGCGATGACTCGGGGGGTGCCCCGGTCTTTCACGTGCGGGGGCTGTGTGTGGCACACGTGTATAGGTAAGGGGGTGGGGTGGGGGGAAGGGGGGAATGGAGGGGAGATCGGGGCAGGGGAAGAGAGAGAGAGAGAGCGAAGGAAGGGACAAGGAGACGGAGGGGGGCAGAGAAGGAGGCAGGGAAGGGAAGGGAAGGGCAGGGCATGCTTGTATGCGGAACGCCCAACCCAACCCAACCCAACCCAACCCAACGCCCGATCTCTCCTCAATGTTGAGCTCACCTGCCCTCCGTTGCCTTTCCCACCTTCCGTGCCGTACCATACCACAGCCACATCGCCTCCATCCGACGCGACGTGGGCGGTACAGTTCGCTCCGTCGCCACGGAACTCCTCAACCTAACCTCATCATCAGCAGCAGCAGGGGGAGGAGGAGGAGGCCGTAGCCGTGTGCACTGCCACGTCAAGGTGCTGCTACTGCTGTACGGCCTGCCGCGACTGCTGTCCGGTAGCATTATGGCGCACGAGCTGATGCACGCCTGGCTGCGAATGGAGGGGGTAGTGGGTCTGTCCGCCAAGGTGGAGGAGGGGCTGTGTCAGCTGATGGCGTGTTTGTGGCTGGACCGCCAACACGAACTGCTCAAGGGGGTGAGTGAAGGGAAGAGTTGGGCAGTGAGGAGGGGGAGAGGTATGTGACGGCGGGCGGAGGGGGGGCAGCTGGAGACGTGGGCAGCCCGAGTAGTGCAATAAACGTTTAATAAATATGTTTTTTTTGTCGCAAAGTACAAATTGAGATATGTTTAAACAAAGGAGAGATGTTTAAATAAAGGAGAGATGTTTAAAATGATTTCAAATAATGCCTTAAAACTTGCGTTGCGTACATGTTTTGCTTGAAGAGCGAAGAGGGGGGGTATTACCGACGCATAGCAACCGGTATTTAACAACGCAGTGCATGATGCAATGTTATCACGCGATACTCTCCTCGTGACCCCCTCCTCCCCCTCTCTCTGCACTCTTAAAGTCCCCCTTCTGCAAGTTATAAGGACGGCCCCAACACCGCCGTGTGCCGTGTCTTCTATGCATTGGATAAGTCCGCTCCTTCCCGTCCCCACCCCCGCTGCTCTTCCCCCTCCCCGTCTGCCTTTGATAGAAACAGGAGGAGCAGCGACTGGCGAGTTTCTTCTCGTACCAGATCCGTACGGACACCAGCGAGGTGTACGGCGACGGCTTCCGAGAAGCCATGGAGGCGTTTCAGTCCATCGGCTTCGCCGCGGTGATACAGAACGTGAAGCGATACGGGCGGTTTATGTAAACAAGTCAGCACACGACATGCTTGCGAAGCGGTTTGCGCTCTTTACTTACCGCGGCATCGGTCACATGGTCACCTCATGACAACAGGTCCATTTCCTTCTAATCTGTTGAAATTGGAGCTAACGACCGCTGACGACCGCTTTGTTGACTGTCACCAACAAACAGATGCCTTACTTCTGCTCCCGGCCGACCCGGGTTCAAATCCGCCTGCCGGCTCCTCGGGTGTTTGAGGAGTGATGAAATGGGAGGTGGCCTCCCATCATATGGACGATGTAGGACGTGATAAAATCAACTTGCGAGCTGACCAGGAACTAAGTTAATGCGCCGTTGATCCGCTAGATTTGGTTGGATGCTGGTGGTGAGTTGCCGAACCCAACGAATACATTCTGAAGTCGGATGGGGTGACGGATTAGGGTGCCCCTCTAGCAAGGGAGAGCAGGGACTGCCCGGGAAAGGGGCCGCTGGCGAAGTTAACCACCCTGTAACAACATACAGATGCGTTCAGTCGCAGTCAGCATCACAGGCTCGGGGGCAAGTGTACTTTAGTCGCAGGTTTTTGGCGGCGCTTTTCCCATCACCGATTCGAACGGGATGGCACAATTGTTGCGTTAGTATAGTGTGGTGTGGTGTGGTTTGGTTTGTCATATCGTGGGTGCGGCAGGGACGCAAGTGCGGGCAGGTTTGCTGCTGGGATGTAAGAGCACCTCCTGGTCGGAGCATCAACCCTTTCTTTAGGTCAGGGCAGGGCAGGTATGAGCCTGCGTTTGTCATATGTTGCATAGCAGGTACTGCGTGTGTGTGTGTGTCTTGGCGGTATGGGGGGATGCTGGTGGTGTCCGTTTAGCTGTATTTATAGCTAATGCGCTCTTTTTTTGCAGTTTTGGTATAAGTCGTGTACTGTCGCGGCTTCTTATACGCACTGAATCGTCGTACGGATTTGCTGCTTGGCAACAGAAATACCAATCGTATTATTTATATGATACAGCCAGTTGGATCCTTGAGCTTTGAACGGAAGCGGTGCGCACAAAATGCATTGCCACTGTGCCGATTCTGGGTTAACATGTACGAGGCACTACCGCCAAGTCCATGCATGGTAAGGGGATTTATACGGCGCGTCACATGTGCCGCTTAGTGGAAAGTTGTTGGGGAGGGTGAGGGGACGCACATCATCTGCCCTTCTCAGCTTGTCATGCTGAGAACCCGTTGCGCGTGCTGTTGTCAAAAGGTTTGTTGGTAAGAATTGCGGGAACATTTACGAACATGTAAGGCTGTGTGGCCCCACGTGGGCCGTGGATATGCGGATGGTGCTCCATCGACGTGTTGAGGAGCGGACTCACTCATGGCTTTATGAGGTGGTTATGGTGTTATCGATGGATATCCAAACGATCCCTGATTTGAGTAGCTTTAGGTATTACTTGATCCGGCTGAATTCGCGTTTGTTTACTTTGGATATATATACGGCTCCGTCCAGTTTGAGCCTGGCCGGTTCTGTCCGGTCGGTTTCCTTTGTTTGGGTGGTCACCGCAGTCGTTCTCACGATCTTGTCTTGGGAAGTAGTCTCCGCTGCCTTTGCGCCTCAGCTGGTGTGAGCATCTCTCCGTTCTCTTACCCCCCCCCCAACAAATACATGCACACACCTTCCCCCCATCCTCATCGCCCAGATGTAACAGCGTCCAGAAGAGATCCTTCGCGCGCGATGTGTAGAGGCTGTGGGAAGTTGCAAGTAAAAAGAATGAATGCGTCCTTGCGCTGACTGCTCTGTGAGTCGATTGAATGGTGGACTCTTCAAAACTACGTCATCAACGCAACGCCACCTCCGCGCAGCTATTGCCAGCATACAAGGCGGTGGACAGGTTTATCGGCCATCTTTCGTTCAACAGCACGTTGCTCAGCCTGGCTCATGGGTTAGGGTGCACTGGAAGGGCAGGAATACCTAAAAGATCTTCAAGCAGGAGTACCTAAAAGATCTTCAAGCAGGAGTACCTAAAAGAAGGGTAGAGTGAAAGCTCGGGGGCTAAACCAGGACAAATCAATAGCATAACGCGTGCGCATGGTTTGATCCTAGTGGAATGCAACGTTTTTTGCGGGTTTGTGGGTTTCTGCGTTCTAGTTGCAGTTGGTTAGCACGCGTGGGAGCAAGTTGGGCTTCGCAATTAATGCCGGAAGCTACCACGTTGCGAACAAGATTGTCTGGGTGTTGGAGTATCGTACCGATAACTAACTGTATGTACAGGAGGCAGCGGCGGATTCTTGGCCAGGAGGTCTTCAGTGGTATGGCCGCCAGTGCATGCTCGCGAGTGTATACGTGCATGTGGGCGGGTAGTTGAGCATGGCGAGTAAATTGGAAAAGGTTGAAAAGAGGGGAATCCGCCTTCTCTAACGAAGGAGACGGGAGATCTCCCGTCTCCTTCGGTCCATGGAGACTCAAAGTCCCTGCACCGCGTCATTAAACACAACAATACCGATAGGTCGGTGCGCAGACGCGAAAGAACGAAGGACACGATGGGCATAAAAAACACTTACAGGTCAGGTAATTGCATGCGCGACCCGTTGGTCCCAACTGTATGGAGGTTTTCCCGACCAAATATGCTTGATGAGGATAGTTCGCACCATGTTATGGCTTAGATGATGTAATTAGGTGCTCTCGCTTGGCAAACGAACCTCTCGTAAAGCTCCTTCGCGCCGTACGTGCGGAAGTAAATTCACACCGAGGCCTTCTGCGCATGTGCCTAATTTGTCTTCTTTCGAGTCTGACTTTTTGCCAGTTTTAGAGCTTCAGGTCTTTCCTTTAGCAGATAAGTTAGGATCGCGCGGGAGGATGGGTTCCAATGCAGGAGGCTTCGACTTTGATCTATGCAAGCGAAATGCTATGCTACAGAACAAAGGCATGACCCTTCCCAAGGCGTGGAAGACGGGTACAACTATCGCTGGGCTAATTTTCAAGGTACTGTGAGTAGGGCCGTCGGGTGCTAGGGTCTGTGGCTTAAACCTCCGACATCATGTGTAGGACGGTGTTGTCCTGGGAGCCGATACTCGTTCAACTTCGGGGAGCACGGTTGCGGATAAAAACTGCAGTAAGATCCACTTCATAACCCCCAACATTTACGCTTGTGGCGCTGGTACAGCAGCGGACTTGGAGCATGTAACGGGTACGTTAGCTTGCGTACTTGGTTCACCAAGGCGGCACTGAGGGAATGGCCATGGCCTGTGACGCAGACATGGTGTCGGGGCAAATCGCCCTCCATCGATACGCGACTGGCCGGCAAGCACGTGTCATCACAGCGATGACGATGTTCAAGCAGCACCTCTTTAAGTGAGTAGCCGCGAACTGGCTGGTCATTGGCCCTCTGGTTGGGGAAATGCAGGGACCCAGAAGGGGTCAACCAGGGTTTGGGCCCCTGCGGTGCGTTCCTCCCGACCGGCGCCTCCTGGCACGGACATCATAGCGTTTACTACTGCCACTGACAAGTGATGGACCTTAACCCAGTTTTACATAACCCTTCTAACTGTAGTGGTGAATGCGTGCTGCAGGTACCAGGGCCACGTTGGGGCTGCATTGGTGCTTGGGGGCGTTGACCTCAACGGGCCGCACCTCTTCACGGTAAGGGGCCATCATGTTTGCGGGCCTCGAGATAATTGTATGAGAAGAGGGGTGTGTGGTGTGGGGGAGGAGGAGCATACGATGGGGGCACGATGGTGTGGTGGTTCGTAGGGCCTATGCTGGCAGGTCCTGGGGCAGGGGCGCGTATTTCATTGGGCTGTAGCCGCCAAGCCGTCTTGACATCCCAACCGCCAGCTGCCTTGCGCCCTAATACCCCACCTTCAGCCCATCAACCTCGACTCTGTTTCCTGGAAATACTGGAATCGCTGCGTCTTGGCTTGAGGATCCGTAGGGATATATTCTCACATTGTGGTTGTCTTTCTGGCCTTAATGGAACCCACTGCCGCCTTCTGCCTGTGCTTCTCCTTAGAGTCCCACCTCAACTTCTCTTTCTCCGCCACCCCGCACCTTTCTGATCTCCTCCCGCCTCGTCAATCACTACCGCCAGATCTACCCGCACGGCTCCACCGACTCGCTGCCCTTCGCCACCATGGGTTCCGGGTCAGTGAACGCCATGGCCATGTTTGAGGCGTATTACAAGGACGATATGGACCGGGGTGAGGCGATGGCGCTTGTGGCGCGCGCGATCAGGTGGGAACGGGAGAGAGACGACACGGGGGACTGACGGGGTGCTGTGGAAGGCAAAGGCAAGGAAATCCGCTGCATAATTGCCAGACAATAAACGGCAGCCAGCAGCGCAGGCGGGGGAACATTGGACTGAATGGGGTCACCGAGGAGGGGGGAAGGCATGGGGCCGGGTAGGCGGGCGGGTAGGAGGGAAGGTAAACCCTTTTAAGATCCCAAAGACTTAAGCAGGGGACCAGCAACCTGCTTTACCTGCTTCCTTTCTGAGCGGAGCCAAGGGGAAGGGCCGTTGGCTGTTCACGGTCAGTCGGGGGGTATGACGTGCCGGAATTGGACTTGGTGCAGCGGTGGAGCTGGGCTTCTGCCACCAACTTCCAAATAGCAGTATGGAACGAGTTGCGGCTGGCTGTTTCTCCGGTCCTTAGTCCTCAGCGTCCGGTAGCGAAACTCTGTGCGAAGAATTGAGCGCCTTGTGTAGGCAGTTGGACCGGCAGCTTACGGGTCGTTTTTTGGCTTCAGGTCAGGTGTTTATGGGGTCCCCATGCAGCTTCTTATTCCTTTCGCCGTCCCCTGGTCCCCAGGCACTTCGGTCCACTTACCCCCACCTACGTGATGAGTATCTGTCTAATTCTGGAGTATCAGTCCATCTCTGGTATCTGCATCACTCGTCTGTGGTTCGTCTTCCCCATCGATGTGTCTGAACCCGAACCCCTCCACCCAACCCCTTTCCCCCTTTGAACGCCGGCAGTTTATTTCTGAGTTTCTCGCATTTGATTTGTTTTTCTAGTCCTGATCTTCATCACGGCGGCCTTGATAGCGATGCGTTTCTGTTCACGGGTCCTATTTGTGCGTGGTGTTGCAGGTCAGGTGTGATGAATGACCTGGGCTCGGGTTCCAATGTGGACCTGTGCGTCATCACCAAGGAGGGAGTGGACTACTTGCGGAATTACGAGTACCTGCAGGCTAAGACCTACACGCGGCAGTTCCCGGTCAAATACCCGCCAGGCACCGCCAGTAAGTTTGTAGTGGATATAACTGAAAAGGATAAGAAGATCTGCTGCCGCCGTTGTCGCTGTTTGGTCCCACAGCATTGATAACAACAGCGTTGGGGCGATCTTGTGCAAAAGTTAGAGAGAGAACTGCTGACGTCCAATACACCAACTGCTGAAAGGGGGTTGGGGTGGGCGGGAACGGGACTGAGCCCACAGGGTAGAGCTCTGCCACTAGGGCAGACTATGGAGTGCGAAGTCGCCGCATGGCCCCACGCCCATACGTCCACGCAATAGCTTTTCCCCTGAGCTTGGGCATTGTATGTTCCTGGCCGGTGTCGCGGGGTACGGGTGGATGTAGGGGGCTGGCTTCTGTCAGTCTCCGTTTTGCTTGGCTTGCATGTTAGGCGCGCTGAAGCCCGGTGTAATGGGAGGGCAAGGGTGGCGCGGGTTGGCATACACACATGCACAAACTAAACACTATACAATGCCACCTACGAATCACCCACCATTCTCACGATCTCTCCTGCTGGTGTGTCGGTTTTACACACTCTTGTCCGTGTCAGTTACTCATTTCCGCTTTTCACCGTCCCTTCCGCTGCCTCCCATCCCCCAATCGCAGCCGTTGTGAAGCAACGGGTGATGTCGCTCAAGGGCGTGGAGGTGATACAGGGCGCGCCTGAGGAGATGGATGTGTCCTAGGAGGGCATGGGTGCCATGCCGCATGAGCTTGTTGTGGTCGGCGGCATTATAATGGTGGTGATATGAAACTTGAGGGTTGAGAGGGGCAGAGCGCGGTAATCAGCAGGGGGAAAGGGGCTCTAGTTACCGAGCAGTAAGCACACATCCTGTTCCGTCACGGGAGTGTTTTTAGATGTGTAGTCGCCAGAGTAACTCGTGAAGCTGTCGAGTCAACCCCGTTCCTGTTGTGGACGCATAAGCGTGCGTTTGAATTAACTGTCCTGATTGAGGAATGTTTTGGCGTTGTGATGGAAACGCTGTCCACAGCTGAGGAGAGGCTGACGGTTAGGCTACACTCGCTTATACAGTGCCTTGATTGGGTGAATTTTTGTGGTTTTCTGGAAGGAAATGCAATCGGCAGCGGTGTATACACCATGTCACATCTTTTACGCCAGCTGCGACAGAATGGTTAAAAACCTGCAGTGTAGATAACGACAGGTATCAAGCGGTTATTTTGCACCCCTACCTTTGCAACTTCTAACTGGGCAAGCACCTCGTCCATTACTGTCCTTTGCCCGCATCTGACCATCTCTCCTAACACGTTTGCCATGATTTACGCCAGGAAGCAGAAGTGTCTCAGCAACAACGCGACCTGCCGTGCACGTCCCATGTCCAGGCAAACAGTTAAGAAAGACCTGTTGTGAACAAGAGATGTTGAGCATCAGACGCTAGACAGTCGTCCCTCGCCGTAAACCACAAGACCAGGCAAAGTCGGAGGCAAAACGTGGCTCGTAGCATATTAGCTAGTACTGCCAAGGAAGCGGCTTTAACGGTTCGGTTGAGTTGGGGACTGCCGCGCACGCCGACTCTCCGACCGTGACATGCAGTGCAACGAACTGCCCCAGGCGCAGGCTATCGCCGTAGCTATCTCTCATCTTCCTTCCAACGGATTAAACACTAACATTTAATGCCGTAAGAGCCACAACGGCATGCTCCGCCATCAGCTTCCACTCCAACCCGCGAATTTCAACCTCCCCCTCCCTCTCTCCATAGCCTAACGTAGAAGCGCAGTAACGAGAAGCACAGCACGTCCTACGAGTCCTCACCGTCGTCTGAACCATCCCTAGGGTGTGGAGCCTCTCCCTCCGAATCCCTTTCCCCAATGCTCTGCCATCTTTCCCAGCCACCTAGCCAAAAATCCGTCCCCTTCCCCCGGGCGATCGTCCCCCCTCCCTTACTCCCCAGCCACAATGCCGAACCCGAACTTGTAATTGCTGTGCCAGTGATCCATCTCCGCCGACAACACGAAATTGATACCCGGGCTAAAGCGCTCCTCCAAAAGCGTCGTCACGACGCCGTTGGTGTCGACCTTGCCCCGAAGACGGCACTGCCGCAGGCTGACATCATACCCCACGGTGGCGGTCACGTCGCGGCTGGCGATGTGCCACAAGAAGTCCGTGGCAAGAGTTACCTTCTCCGAAACCTTGTGCGTGTATTGCATGTTCATGATGCCTGTGGTGGCAACCTGGCATGTGGCCACGTGCTTGTCGCCCTGGTGCCGCAGCGCCAGGCCCACTCCGGATTTAGGTGTGGAGGGCAGCCAGAAAAACTCGCCGCCCGCGGAGAGCTTCGGCGTGAGGGACTGGAAATAGTTTGTGCCAATGAACCCCGGGCCAAGTTTCAGCTGTGCGTTCCAGTCACCGCCCTTCAAGTCTGTGTCGACCATGACCTGCGACTGGTTCGCGGCGTTGGCTAGCTGACAGTGCACTTTGAGTCCGAGCCAGCTGGTGACGTCGTACTTAATGCGACCCGACAGACGTCCGTCGGTGCCGATGCGGCCCAGCATGAGGAAGGTTTGAGCCTCATTGACTACCGTGGCGCCAAACTCGTAGGTGCCAACAGGCGTCTTAAGGATCTGACGGCCGCCGGTCTGGAGCTCTGTATTGCCCATGAACAAGCTGTGCGATAGAAAAAACTGTTGGTTGAGGGGCTTATTGATCTCAAAGCGCAACCCCTCAAACGTGTCGGGCTTGAGCGAAATAATGCCTTCCCGCTGGATGTCCTCATATCGCACCGGCTGCGGAAGGCTCAAGTAGTCTGGCAGCTCCGACTCCTTAATTTCCTTCGCAACTGCTGCTGCCGAGGCTGCGAACGAGAAGTTTGGCATCGGCGGCGGAGCAGTATCCTGCTTTGCAGGAGCTGGCTGTTTGGCGTCATCCGCCTTGCTGTAAACGACTCCCATTTCGTAGATCAGCTATATCCGTGATCTGACTTGTTAAGGGACCGGCATACCGTGGCAGAACAAGTTAACTAAAAGTCTGATGACTGTTATTCCTGCCGAAAAGCAGCCGGCGCCACCTGCGCTCGGGCAAAGCCGATGGGAGGAGGAACACCACACAAATGAATAAGGGGGATGCAGCATAATCTCTTCCATTCGGCAGGTACAGGATTTCGGAGCGCTAACGGTGTCGACACCCGCAAACGATGGAGTCAAAGTTAGGATGTTAGGTACGTTAGGTCTGCTAAGCGTACAAAATAATAAAAAGGCACGTGACTGAAACAAGCCAATCCTAAGTCAGCCCTGCAACACCAGGCGGCCTCCCGTCAGTGAATGGAAATACTTAGCATGGTCATGCCCAGCATACATTAAATGTTCAGCATGGTAAGAGTTCTACATTAGGAGCGTTGCTACCGAGCATCCGAGGATAATGCGGTGTGCGGAAGCGTACCATGCAAAAGCGAATGTCAACGTGTTGATGAATTTCGTACACACCTGTGCATGGGTTAGCGATAAGTCCTGATAAGTAATCAAATGCACGTAAAACACGCTTCTCGCTCGCGCTAGGTTAAGGCCTTTTGCTCCGAGACCGCGATACCGTGAAACGTTTATGTCGTGAAGCTTCGTTGGGTCTAAAACTCTGCACATAGCTGCAATGCGCATCAACTTCTGCTCTAAGCTGCGCAGCCCAGCATCTCTCCATACGGGCTTCCCTAAGCTTGCAGCTAGCCATCCCAACCGTCGTGCAAGTGTCGCTGCCGGCGCCCGGGAAATCATGACAACAACACCGCAAAAGCCTCTCATTGTCGTCGGTTCAGTCAACGCTGACCTCGTTCTTCCCATCGACCGCCTCCCAAAGCCCGGCGAGACCCTCGCGGCAGCATCAATTGAGACTGTCCCGGGCGGCAAGGGCGCAAACCAGGCCGCTGCTGCAGCACGCTCTGGCTATCCCACCTTCTTCATCGGCCAGTTCGGCAAAGACGACCCCAACGCGGCGCTGCTGCGCAGCGCGTTGCTGGGCTGTGGTGTCGATCTCTCACATGCCCAAGATGTCGCGGGGCCCTGCGGCACCGCGTTAATCCTGCTGCAAGCCGGCGGCGAAAACTCCATCATCATCGTCGGTGGTGCTAACCAAGCCGCCTGGAGCCTCTCCGATGGTGTGAAGCAGCTGCTTTCTTGCGCTGGAGCAGTGCTGCTGCAGCGCGAGATTCCCGAGTCGGTCAACATCGAGGTGGCGCAGCTGGCCAAGGCTGCCGGTGTACCCGTCGTACTGGACGCTGGCGGCGTGGAGGGCCCTATAGCACCCGAGCTGCTGTCGTGTCTGACGGTGTTGAGCCCCAATGAGACCGAGTTGGCTCGGCTGACGGGGCTGCCGACCGACACTGAAGACCAGGTGCGAGTGAAAGCGAAAGAGAGTGTGTGTGAGGATGTTTGCGAAGATGTGTGTGAAGAGGTGTGTGTATGTATTGTTGAGCTGAGCCTCCACGTGTCTGTATCTGTATCTGTGTGTCTGTGTGTGTGTGTCTGTGTGTGTGCACGCTACTGAAGGTTGCATCACCCACATCGAAACGCATATGCCAGTGGAGACACACAATCACATGCAAGCAAGCGGTTGCAGTACGGCATCGATTGTTAGAAGCCTAGAAACAGGCGGCCGCTGCTGTTGTTGCTGTAGCTGCTGCTGCTGCTGTTGATGGGGTGTTACACTGTGGGCGGCTCGCCCGATAAAGGACGAGCACCGGGGGCCCTGACCGTTGCTGCTGCTGTTGCTGTTGCTGTTGCTGCTGCTGTTGCTGCTGCTGTTGCTCCGGTGCCCCCGCCGGTGGCCCTCGGCTGCCCAGGTCCGTGCGGCAGCGGAGCAGCTAATGTCTGCGGGTGTGCAGTCCGTGTTGGTCAAGCTGGGCAGTGAGGGCAGCCTGCTGCTGCCAGGTCAGGGCCAGACAGCCATCAGGCAACAAGCCATTAAGGCGCCCGAGGTGCTGGATACGACGGGTACGGCAGGGGGGGTCCTGCTTTGGACAAGAACACACAGATGGCCTCGAACAACCCCCCCAACACACACACATACACATGTGCACACACACCCAAACCAACGCCCGTTTCTCCTGGGCCCCCTGCTTCTCTGCCCCCTCTGGACACGACAGGCGCCGGGGACTGCTTCACCGCCACCTACGCGGTGGCCGTGTTGGAGGGCAAGGCCGCCCCACAGGCGCTGCAGTTCGCCTCGGCGGCGGCGTCTCTGTGTGTACGGCGCATGGGCGCCATGACGTCACTGCCCTCCAGAGGCGAGGTTGAGGAGCTGCTGGCGGCCCAGCAGTAGCGATATCGGGGTGCTGGGGTGGGCCCCGGATTGGTGGTGGTGATGGTGGTGACGGTGATGGTGGTGGTGGTGGTGGGGGGGGGGGGGGGGGAGGAGAGCACTCCTGCTGGGGGGAAGACCCTGCTTTACTGGAGGGCGCGGGAGGCGTTGGGGCCGGAGGGGGTGTCCATGTTAAGTGAGCTGCTGTGCCTGTGCTGGGGAGCGGCCCTAGAATACAATGGGGCAGTTGAGGGAGAGGCATACCGGCTGTCTGTCCCCGGGGACCGGCGGTGGACGGATAGAGAGACCTGTACTGCTGTTTGGACCCCAGGAAATTCGAGGTATACGTACGGCAGTGACAGCGAGGCAAGGCAGGGGTTGGAAGCCGCGGTGAGGCGCAGGAGGGGTCCGGAGTCCGTTTGGCTTTTTTCCTTGGGGGCCAGGAGGGTGAGGGTGAAGAGAGGATGATCAGGAATCCTTGGTTGGACTTTTGGGACTAAAAAGGGAAGGGGGAGGGGGGAGGTGAAAAACGATGAAAAATGTGGAAATCCACCTCATCCACCTGTGAAGGACGTCCTTCCCTCCCTTGCATGTCGCCCTCTTCTGCCAGTCGCCTCTCGTACACCCATCACCATGCTGCGACAGGAGGGTTGACGCTGCGACGTGATGCTGTGGCTCCTCCACGTCGATTCGACCCTATTTATTTATTAATTTGTGTGTAAGGAGGAAATATATTCCCGCGGATAAATGTGCGTATGCGTGTATGTATGTATGTATGTAGGCCTAATGAACGTCACAGCTTTCGCTCTTTTGACTTCATACAGTCAGTAAATGTCTAGAGATCCTCTCAAACCTTAGCTATCGGTACGTACATACATACGGACAGACGGCCGGGTGTGTGCACGCGAATGGGACAGAACTTCGTCTCGATATTCCCAGAGCCCTCTTCCACGTCTCTTAGCACCTCGCAGGTACACACACCTAATCTCGCTATGCCTCAACCTGCCTTCGTCGTACATCCCTCTGCACCTACCTACCCTCTACCTCACTCGCCTGACGGACCTCTCCACACATCGCCACCCGGACCCACATCACACGTCACTTCAAAGGCTCAAAGGTCGGCCTGGGTGAAGGAAACACACACGCACACACACATACATACAGCAATCCACCAATTAGGCTTCCGGGAAAGACATAACCTGCCACGTACTGTACGGCGTGGGGAAAAAAGGAAAACGTAACACGTCGTACATTTACTCCGGTGGATTCTATAATATAATGCCGTACCGGCACTTAGTCATGTGATGCGATGCCCTATTATACCGTCGTTCTACACTCCAGTCAGTCGTTCGTACACTCTCGTACCACATGCCGTACACATACTCTGCACATGTTTAATAAACATCATCGCAGCGCTCTCCATTTCGGACACACCGATTGATGCACAACTGGACCTTCTCACAGCAGCACGCACACAAACACACTCTCGAAGCGAAAATCCCCCAAAACCACAGACCATGGATTTAGGGGAAAAAAGACTTTTCGCTCTACAACGAATGGTCAAAATTGTCCGCGCTCTGTTGCTACAGCAGCAGCAGCAGTGGCGGCAGCACAGTAACAGTAGTAGTAATAATGGTTATCGCAGTCGAAGCAGCGGTGGTGGCTTGACATTCACAACAACGGTACATACAGTAAGCACATATCAATGTCTCACACGGCCACCGCAGCAGCGAACGGATACCGTTTTCCCCCCAGACAGAGATTTGCGAAGAATTCCACACCATACCATACCAAGCATCCCTCCCCCAAGCATGTGGTGGCCTGTCCGCCGTACGCAAGTACGGCTTTGTACCGTTCAGCAAGGACTAGCCAGCGGCGCTAGCCACGCCGCCGCCGCCGGCCCGCGGGGCAACACCGGCACCGCCGGCACTCCCGGCGCTCGAGCTCACGACGGACGCCAACATCTGCGGCGCACCACGCGCACTTTCCTCAACAGGAGAAGACGCCGCCGGCGCCGTCGCTGACGTCGCAACTCCCGTCCCCACCAAGCCGCCATCCTCCGCCAGCTCCCCCTGTGACCTATCGGCGGAGGATTTCGCTGGTGACGCCAGCGGCGCCACCACCGCCCCACGGCTTCCTGCCCGTGCAGCAGCGCCGGCAGTAGCAGTAGCCGTACTCGTGCCCATGCCCTTGACTTCCAGCTGTAGCAGCAGCGAGTTGCTGACAACAGCCAGGGATGAGAACCCCATGAGCGCGCCGCTGACGGAGGGGGTCAGGCAGATACCCGCCGTCGGCAGTAGCACCCCCGCCGCCAGGGGAATGGCGATCAGGTTGTAGCCGAAGGCCCACATGAGGTTCTGGTTGATCTTGGCCAGTGTACGACGAGCCAGATGAACCGTGTCGGCGACCTGCACACATCGGGGGGTTTGCACCCGGGGGGATGGCCACACGATTAGGAAACAATACTTTTAAGGAGGGCACGGATAACCGAATTTCATGTTCGTCTTTGGGTCAGTGATTGTATGTTGTCCAGACGATATGTTCCTGTGATGCATATGCTTGTGACCTGAATCCACCTGGATCCACCTGGACCCGCCAAACTACCGACCCACCGACCCACCTGGGACAGCTGGTCTCCCAGCAGCACCACCTTGGCGACCTCCGAAGCCGCGTCGACACCGCCACCCATCGCAATGCCCACATCCGCCGCCGCCAGCGCCGCCGTGTCGTTGATGCCGTCGCCCACCATCGCAACCACGCGGCCCGCGGCGCGCAGCTCCTCCACCACCGCCTTCTTGCCCGCCGGCTTGACGTCGGCGAACACGTCGGCGGCGGCGATGCCCACCGCCGACGCCACTTCCGCCGCGGCGGCGGACTTATCGCCGCTGAGCATGACTGTACGGATGCCCTGCTGATGCAACCGTTCCACCGTCTCCCGCGCGTCAGGCCGTACGGCGTCGGCGACATCGATGACACCAGCGACGGCGCCGTCGACAGCGACATACACGCGACTATGACTGTTACCGACGCCGTGTACGGCGGCGGTGGCGATTGAAGTTGCCGCCGCCGCCGGTGGCGGCGGCGGCTGCTCTGGGAAGTCCAGGTCGTCGCCGCCGGCTGCTGCCGCCAAAGTGCCAGCGGTGGCAGCTGTGCAATGGCCTGTGCCGTACGCTGCCAAGGCTGCCTCCGCCGCCGTAACATCCGCGCCCTGCCGCTGCAGCCATTCCAATGTCCCAACCGCCACTCGACGTCCGCCAACCGTCGCCGCAACGCCACTGCCAGGCTCCTGTACGAACGACCCGTCTTGTACGGTAAGGTCCAGCGTCGGCGCCGCCGTCAGCGAAGGTTCTGCAGCGCCATCGGCGCCGCTACTGCTACTGCAGGCGCGTTCTGCAGCTGCCGTCGCCGGTGGATGTAGCTGGTCGGCGGCGCGGACGAGCGCCTGCGCGACGGGATGCGTGGTGCGCCGCTCCGCCGCCGCCGCCAGCTGCAGTACGGCGTCAGCTGCACTGCTGCCGCCGCCGCCGCCGCCGGGCCCCGTCAGGGACTCCAGGGGCAGGAGGGAGTGGACATGGGTGACCTGTACGGCATTCAGACGTCCATAAGTGGAGGAGAAACTGCGGGCGCCAGGTACTGCCTAATGCCGTACTCGTCACCCAACCAGCACAAAACACTGCAACCCCGCAAGCAGCCTTCCTCCCCGGTCTCACACGGCCGCCAAACAGCCTAGCCAGAAGACCTGATTCCCGGCTCATCATCCCGCCACGACGTATTACCCACTACACATATACACACACACACACACCACATACGCGCGAGCTGCTATCGCCCTCAGCACACATATACCGACACACATGCAGGCAGACATGCAGGCAGACATGCAGACACACATACAGACACACATACAGACACACACACACCTCCTCGTACACAACCCCCAACACCCCCAGCCGCCCACCTGCGGCTTCCCGACAGTGAGAGTGCCCGTCTTGTCCAGCACCACCGTATCCACGTGGGACGCAGCCTCCAAAATGTCGCCCCCCCGAATCAGCAACCCCCGCCTGGCGCCCGCGCTGGTGCCCACCAGTACGGCAGTCGGGGTGGCCAAACCCAGCGCACACGGACACGCCGTCACCAGCACGCTGCAGGCCATTTGGAGACTCAGCAGCAAGGCGCCCGCGGGGCCGGAGGCGCTGGAGGAGAGGACCTGGGTTTGGGGTGGTTTGTTGGGAGCAAAGGGGGGGGAAAGCACGGCGCGGGTGGAATGAGGGAATGGTGGTGGTGAGGGACGTAGGGATGGCCTGGGGGGGCCAGGGGGCCCACTGCCACAGCCACCACTACCACCACGAAACGCCGTTAGCAAAATGGATCAGCCGAAATAATGCTACTTTTTTCGTTGCGGCAGCTCCGATTGACAGACAGACAGACAGACAGACGGACAGGCGAATGGAGGTATGGACAGACGCACTCCACACGTACACACATGCATACATGCATACATACATACATACATACATACATACATACATACATACATACATACATACATACATACATACATACATACATACATACATACATACATACATACATACATACATACATACATACACACACACACATTCCGACAGCACAACATCATCACACGTACGTACAAATGTACATAATACATACGTACACACGCCCGTATGTATGTCGGTCCACCTGGGGGAAGACGCGGGTGCCCACAGCCGCCCAGAATGCGAAGGTGGCGGCGGACAAACCCATCACCCCGTAAGCGAACTTGCCGGCGACCGTGTCGGCCAAACGCTGAATGGGCGCCGTGCGGGCCTGAGGGAGGGGTGGGGGGTTGGGAGGGGGTGAGCGTTTTAGATGAAGCACTCGTGTACGTGTACGTGTATGTATATGTGTATGTGTACATATACGGGTATCTGTACGACATAGCAAACCCCTGGAAAATTAGAGTCAAACAAAAACACATAACGGGGACATCTCTTAACATCAGTTGGTCGAAAGAAAACGAAACACCGCCGCCAGGTTTCCCCGACACCCCCGACACCCCCCGACACCTGCGCCACCTCCACCAGCCGCACGATATCCGCAATAACCGTCTGCTGGCCGCTGTGCTCCGCCCGTACAGTCAACGCCCCGTCGCAGTTGACCGTCCCCGCCGCCACGCGGTCTCCGGGAGCCTTAGTCAGCGGCAGCGGCTCCCCGGTCAGCGCGGACTCGTCCACGGACGACCTCCCCCCCACCACCACACCGTCTACGGGTACCCGGTCGCCCGGCAGCACCAGCAACAGGTCACCGGGACCCACCGCCTCCGCGGGAACCTGCGTAGTGTGTGCGTGTGAGCTGTGTGAGCTGTGTGAGCGTGTATGCATGTATGTGTTTTATGTATGTGTTTGGGGTTCAGGGTAAGGGAGGCGGAAGAATGAAGGACGGGAAGGAAAACGATGGGAATGTCAGTGCGGCGTCATTGTGAAAAAGATGACAGTTTTGACTTCACCTTGATGCTCCCCACGTGATGGGTGCCACGTGGCGAGTATGTGTGTATGTATGTATGTGTGTGTGTGGGGGGGGTGTCACTTACCCTACGCAATGCGCAGGAGCAACAGCACTATTCCCCCTCCTTCCAACACACGTACATACACACGTACATACATACGCACACACGTACATACATACATACACACACACCAACAGATACGCCGATAGAACTATCGATAGACACACAAACCCTAAGTCGCAAACCGCGCATGCCTTCACAAACTGGTGCGCTCAATATCCGCTCAACACCCATGCGCTCAACACGCCACGCGGCGCACCTGGTGTCTGTTTCCGCAACTACCCCATCCCCACACACATACACAACAACCCACATCCCACATTTCACACCTCCCACCTCTGCATGCTTATCCCCGCCTCCACTCAGGAGCAATCTCGCTCGTGTGGGAACCAGCTCCTGAAGAGCTGCCATATCCGCACTCGCCTGGATTCGAACAAGGGTTCCGTCGCATCCGGCGTTCAAGATGTAGAAAAATTAGGATGTCGTGCACTTCAGAGCAACATCGATTCGATGAATACAATACAATATAATCGGATCAGATTTTCAGAACATCTAAAACACAAATCCCTATCCTTAATAGATTGCCAGGTACAGCCTGGACGAGCCTGGACGAGCCTGGACTAAAACATTCCTATCCGTCCAATATACACTCCACCCCACACCCCATCCCCCGGGTCAAACCGACCTGCAGTTTGGCTCTCTCCTCCAGCGCCCTTCCGATGAGCACAAACCCTAAAAAATACAAACGATTTGGATTTGGATTAGATTTGACAAAAGGTCCGACCAAAGAGAAGAGACTCGCGCCGACCCTCAGGATGCGACCACAACCTCCCCCGGGTGGTTGGAAGGAAGGGCGGGGGAGCCCATTTACGGGTTGGGACTGAAAACCCTAGAAAGGTTCGCCCTAGGGCCCCTCCACGACCCCAAGACCATCCGGATCTACCCGCCGCACACAACAACGACAACAAACAGCGAGGGTTTAAGACGATCAAAGCACCCCCCCTTACCCCCCTTTTCCCCATCCTTCCCTTCACCCACCCAGACCCACTCACCCAGCAACATCGCCGGCTCCTCAAAAAACGTCTTCCACCCCAGTTTAGGTAGCGCCGCCGCCACACAGCTGACGCCGAACGAAGCGCCCGCGCCAAGGCCCACCAACGTGTTCATGTCAGGCCGACCGGCCGCCAGCGCCTTGAGCCCCGAAACCAAGATCTCCCGCCCGGGCCCTAGCAGTGCGGCGACGGAGAGGGCCGCGTTGAGGGGCACGGAGTGGAAGGTGTGCATCCAGGCGGGCGCGGAGGGCAGGGCGTGCGCCAGGTGGCTCAGTCCGCACACCGCGGCTAGACCCCACGCAGTGAGGAGATCGAGGGTGGCGGCACGGAGCCGAGCGACCTTGGCAGCGCGCTTGGCGGCGAGGGCGGCGGCGAGGGCGGAGGAGGAGGTGGAAGGGTCGCGGGGCTTGGAGGGAAAGCCGGCGGCGGTGAGAGCCTGGGTGCGGGACGGGAGGGGGGCCCCGGAGGAGGGTTAATGGGAAGAGCGTAGGGGTGCGGGGTTGTCGGGGTTGGGGGGTGTATGAGTGGAGGGGGGGGAGTAGGTGGTGTGTGAGACGGTACTTGTTTTTGTGTGTGTTTTGCGGAGATTGGGGTGAGTGGTAGGCGATTGTTTGCACGGCAGTCAAACAAAACGGCCGCGTTCCAGTACTGCTCTGGTAGAGTGCTGTCCTATTGTGATGAGGCTCAGAAGTTACGTTACGTGGTGGTGGTGGTGGAGATAGAGGTGGGTGGAGGTAGAGGTGGGTGGTGGTGGTGGTGGAGGTGGTGGTAGTCTTGGTGGCGGTATTGGGAGCTCTTCATCATATCGAGCCCGGGACCGGACCATGTTGTCCAGGGCCTAGAAGGACGAGCCGAAGGCCCTTAGACCCGCCAACGTGTCTAGGTGGGGCCGGGACCCCCTGGAGAAAGCAGATAGGTTGAGTATTTACAGCAAAGGACGTCCGTCTCCTCCTGCCCCTCAAGCCGCACAGGAGCAGCAAGGCCGTTGTTATGAAACAGTACTTCTGTCTCTGCCCCTGCCCCTGCTGCTTTTCCCCGCTCCTGCTTCCCCGTCCTCTTCTTCCTCCGCATCCTCCGTCGAGGTAACTTGTCGGCTTTTCGGTGCTGAGACCTCTCTAGTGGTGGTGGCTCTCGTTTAACGTCGGAAAGGGGTAACTCACTGAAGCTGCTTTTCCCCTCTCTGTTGTGGGGTCCTGGAGGGGATTGGGGAGGGGGGTCCCTCCCATTTCTTTGGCTTTTGACGACGTTTCCTCCCCCTCCTTCCCTCCCTGGGGTGGTATGAAAGGAAATACAATAATAATAATAATAATAATGCGGAGGACCCGAGACGGGAACCAGATCCCAGAGCCGTAGGGCCCACCCCCACCCCGAGTGAAACGCCAGTGAACCCAAATCACCGCCACTACAAGTAATATGTGTCAGTATGTCCGTCACGCCGCGAACGTGTCCAAACGTTGCCGAAGACGACCGCCGTCAAGTAGCCGACCCAACTCAGCTAAGAAACAGTCCAATCGGCAGTACGTGATGGATGACGCGCGACGTGCAGATCACAACACCTTCGTACGACACCTTTGCTGAAGGGGGTCTTCTTCTCCCACGTCATCTTTTCCGTCTTCTTTAACGTAGCCTTGTTCTGTTTTCTTCTACTTCTTCTGATCCTTCTTCTCAACTCTGCCATTACAGAAATTGCCGTCGGACGCACCTCTGGCACACGGTCGTTCCAGTGTTCACGAACACCTCCTAGCATTCACCCCGACATGGCCCCCTCCTGGACTCAATATCAGTACCTCTCCCGGGGCAGGGTGGCACGGGAGGGTAAATTCATGCGTCTACTCATACTCCTGGAGGGGAGGTGAAGCGGAACCGGACATAACCCCCCTCTCCCAGCCCCCCACCATCACCATGACATCATGACCGAGCAGCCGAGCTAATCATCCTCCCAAAGGAACCCAAAGTCAATCCAAAAGCAGTTTCCGAACCGAAAGACGCGAAGGACAGCTTACGAAGCAGGTAAGGCAGTATTTCTCCCTTCCTCCCCATGTGGGCCTCAGCTGCCCCACACCCGTACAACAAGCCGTACACGCAAGGACATCGACCTCGCCTCCCTTCCCCTTCCTCACCCCACCCCCTCCTCTTCCTCCTCCTCGCACAAAGCGGTCCAGTCCCTTCCCGACGGCCTTCTTCCTCCTCCTCCTCCCCTTCCCTTCCTCCTCTTCCTCCTCCTCTCGTGATTATTCCAGCACGCACACCTCCTGAAGCCCCAACTCCGAAACCACAATGGTGATTACACAGTTTCGAGTAACGGCCTCCCGAGCCAAAGCTGAACCCCGGTGCTTGCACCACCCTGCTCTTGCTGCTCACGCTACTGACTGCTGCTTCATGCTACTTACTGCCCCTGCCACCACCGCCTACTCCGAAAAGGTGTTGTGACGCAAATCCGCGGATACAGCAACTTTAGGAGTGGCAGAAGCAGTTGTAACAATAATCATAGCAGTAGCAGCAGTAGCTTGCCAGCTGCGGCTACAACGACAGAGGCAGTGTCGCCCCCACACCGCTCATTTGGCGGAGGGCGCTACCCGCCGCCCGGCAGTAGCAGGAATGGCGGAGCCCGCAGCCGGGGCCCGCATCCGCGACTCAAAGCCCGCTTTCGTCAGCACCTACGACAGAGACCGCGGGCGCAGTAGCAGCAGCAGCCGCGTTGATGGCGGGCCATTAGAGTCTGCCTCAGGTCAACTTTCTCCTATTAGAATACGTTTTGGAGTGCCGGTGCTTTCCATTTCCATGCGGTCTTGTGTTTTAGCGATCTTTAGCAAGAGGCCCTTTCGCTGTGTTACTGCTACCGCTGCTGCTGCTACTACTGCAAGTCCACGATTAAATGCCTTTCAAGGCATTTAATCGTCCGCTGTCGTAGATTTCCAACAGGATTAACCACCTAACCATCCAACCGCCTCACCTGCCTGGCCTCCGCTCGAATGGGGGCCCGACATCCCCCGAACAGTTCCCCACTGACCCTCCATTCGTGTGCATGTGTGTATGTATGTGCGTATATGTGGGCGTGCGTGCGTGTGTGGGCGTGTGTGTACGTGCAAATAGGTGTGTTTTCCTGAATGCCCAGTCCATGTTCCAGGACCACCGTCAGTCAGTCGGTCAACCCGTTCATCGTTTCGCCACCCCAACACGCCGCCACACCATACACACACACACCAGCGGGGCCCCCGCCCGGGGCGACCACACAGATCTCCCCCCTCCGGCCTCAGTGCCCTCGTGCTTCCTCCGTGTAAGACCCAAAGGACGTACTTCCCGCCGTATTTTCCTGCCGTACCTCCACTGATCCTTAATCTCTCCTTTCCCCTCCCCCTCTCCTTCCAGTCCCCAGCAGCAGCTCCGTACGTCCGCAACTTAACACACAGCGGCCCAACTGAAACAGGTGAATCGAAATACACAGCACCCATAACCGAGATCCTTCTGAACTGCCCACACGCCCCGACCCAACCGAACCCAACCGCCCACGCACCCACCTGAGTCAGCTTCTCTCCAAGGGCCGCTAGCGCTGCAGCGCCACTGCTGCTCCTGGGCACCAGCACCCGCACCAATGCCGTCTCGGTGGTGAGGTTCACGGAGGCGGCGATGACTCCTGGCTGGGACTCCAGAATCTTCTTCACGTGGCCCACGCAGCCACCACATTTCATGCCTAAGGGAGGGGAATGCCGGATGGCCGGGAGGGCGGAGGGCGAGAGGAACGCAAGGGCTGTCAAGGTGGGCGATAGGTATAGTGAGGTGTCACAAGTAAGGGTTGGGGATTGCTTGCCCTTTTTCCTCAGTCATAAAAACATTAAGGTAAGGTTGCGATTTGGGCTTTTGTATTGTTGAAAGGGGCGTGCAATGACTCGCACAGGTCTGGTTTGCTTGCTTTGCTTGCTTCCTTAATTGCGGGCCAGTTGTGGCATCCAGCTGCAAGCCTCGAGGACAATTCTTTGAACTATAACTAGTATAACTAGAGAGCGCACCTCCAACGTCAAGAAGGACGACCTCTTCCACGAGGTCGCTCGCCTCCGCGACATCGCCGAGCACATTCGCTGAGCCAGGCTGCGTCGACGATGGTCCATCACCGCCACCGCCTCCACCTCCTCCAGAGCCTCCAAACCTTCCGCCAGCACCAAATCCCCCGCCGACGCTTGCATTTGCCGCTTGCCCCGATGCCGCGCAGAATTGCAAGGTCGTGGCAACGACCGTCGCGCGAGCCAGCTGCCAGCCCCACGCAGCATGTTGGGCGTGAATTTTCAATGCGCTGCTATTTCCCGAAGTTAATGTTGCAAGTAGAAGCACCGTGGGCCTGCAGCGCCTCGTCGTGGCGCCAGCGTGCGCCGCGACTGGGCGCGATACGCCATGGCGCTGTGACACTGGAAACATTGCGCTACTATGTAAGTATGTGTTACATTCAGTTTTACAGGTTGTCGCGGGGTACGAGGTCCAACTACATACTAGGAGGTCTGCACAGCTTGACTAATTTGGGGGATCCTTCGCACAAATCCCCTCAAATAATATAAGACCTTTGTAACACGCTTGGCAGCTGGTCAAGGAAACAACCTCGCCATAGTTGATCAGCTTTTTGGTTCCGGAGCAGGTAAGGTACATGGAGTTGTCATGCATGATAAGGTTTAACAAATTCCATCAGGCGAGTTCAAAGTCAAAAACGAGCAACGTGCCAACATCTTTGGAAATTGGAACGACTCAATGCATCCAACTTGAACACGCAACTATCACAGCTTGATCACCTTGGCTATAACAAACTACCACTTTGTTCTTCGCCAGTATTCTTTTTGCCTAAGGCTGAAAATAGGGACAAATTACTCGCCCTCCGCGCCAGCTTACTCATTAGTTGTGACCACGCCCTCAAAGTCGAACGCCTTGGTGCCCTGTCCTTCCTAGCATGTACAAGTATATCGTGTCTCCCAGCGCTGTCCATGTCAGGATCTGTACCCCTGAACCATTGTGCTCCTCGTGCGGATGAATTCTCTGTACTTTTTGTTGCTCAAGACTAACGGACCGCACCAATGGGTCACAATGGGTTCTTTCCTGTTCGGGTATGCGCCCAGGTTTGGGACGGGGCTGGGATTGGCGCTGTTTGTAACGTGCAAGAGCAGTTACATATCTCTGAATGATTCTCTTCAAAGGGGTTCACGTAGCTATTCTCAAGACCTACCTTTTTACCAGGGAACGAGCCGAAACTTGACCAGGTCTGCGGAATCTTTTCGTATTCGGGAGCCCCTTTGCGGAAAGGCTGCGGAAACTGCGGAAAGCTGCGAAACTATAAAATGAATATGTAACGATGTTTTTTAGCTCTTCTCAGTGTGGCGATGACATGGACAGTCTGAAACCAGCTTGTGGCAGTGCGGTTCTGTCCGGTGGGATCTAGAATCTGGTGGATTCCAATCGTGCTCGAAGGTAGAGCCATCTAAACGTATTACTGGGGGTGGCGGGGGCCAAGCGATCAACTATTGTGTGCCTACACCCTTGACGGTGTTCACCCTGCCCCCTTCAAGCAGCCCGCCTCTCTTTGAACCCTGAGACCCCAGGCCTGAGCAGCCCTATCGTATACCACCCCCATAGTGTTGTTGGCTGACGGATTGCTCTGGGATGCTCAGAAATTGCCACTCATATGTTACATGGGGTAAGGGCCCGGGGAGCCCTGAAACACTGAATAATAATCGTCGAGACGCCCGCTTGGCCGTGACGACCTCGGATGAAGACGCAGCAGCATCCTTAGCTAACAAGGACTTGTAATAGGCGCTGACCTCAGGAGCGATGGCAGTGCACACCTATGTTCGGTACTTGATGGGTATGGAGTAGATCCTTGGTTTAAAATATCAGAAAACACGGCTGCATTGTCGCAACGTGGTCAATTCTGGTATCGAGGAGATGCGTTGGTTGTGCCAGATCATGCCCATTTTCGTACTACCGTTCTGCGTCTTTGTCATGACCATCCGTTGGCAGGCCATACGGGCGTGACCAAAACTCTGGATTTGGTGCGTCGTTCGTTTTGGTGGCCTAGGCTGCGTCAATCGGTCGCAGCGTACGGTCGTACGTGTGACAGCTGTCAGATACCAGTCTCCCGGGTGGTTTGCTTCTTCCGCTGCCGATACATGATCAGAAGTGGTCTTGTGTGACCATGGATTTTATCACTGATCTGCCTCCCGATCCTGATGGCAATACCTCAATTTATGTGTGTGTGTGTTACATGGTTGGGGGTGCGTGACCCCATACCTGTAAGACTACCCATACGAGCCGAAGGCCCAAGGGCAATACTACAACGCCTAAAAGCCACGGAGAAAAGGAAAAAAAAACACCGCACATCAGCCCAGACTAGCGTCCAAAGGGGGTAATTGAGTTTCGGTGAGCCCACATACGTTCCAACATCCTCGCCAGGCGTGCGGGTTCCCATTGCATGGCCTCCAACATACTCTGTTGATGATCGAATCCCTCTTCAGCACGAATATCATTATAGGCTGGGCATTCCAATAACACGTGTTTTTCATCCTCAATTCGGCTATTAGGACCACAACAGTGGCAAAACCGCTGCCCCCTGGGAACATGGTACTTGCCCCTTCGTGCTCTGTTCGCCTCCAAAGCCCAGCAACATAAACGAAACTGCATTAGCTTACGATGTGCTAAACGAGGAATGAAAACCTTAGCATGTGTTGGCCACATGACGGCTGCGGCTCCCGAAAAGGGCAGCCCCATCCAGTGCTTATACTTCGCCATTTGCACTCCCGGTTGCTTCCCATCTGATGGGTACTCCTCTGGCAAGACAGTCAGACGCGTATGGTCCCAGCCGCTCATCAAACGCTCTCTTAGTGCCGTTATTATCGCTCCTTCTGGTAGAGGTCTACTCAACAACCAGTCAACACGCTCCTTTACCCCCACGACTTCTTGCGGTATTCCGCTCCAAATGTTGCACTCCAAGAAGGAAAACAGTCGTAACATTGAGATTCCCCAACCCTCCCATTCCGGGTTGGTCAGGGCATCGGTTATCTCCTGCCGTAAAACTGCATGAGCGATGGATCCCACTTGCTTTTGAAGGCGGTTCCAGAAACGGAGAATCTGCTTCACCATGTAATATTGTAAGGGGAGTTCAGCCAGCTCCGCGTACAACAGCCTGTGGGATGGCCGTGCCGTCCCCACTACCTGCCTCATGAATAAAATCTGCAGCTGGACTGCACTATCCTTCAAACAGGCTTCGAACATGCCCTCCGCAAGGTTGGCTTTATCCCGCCGCCTTCCCGCCCTGTCCACGACCTCTGCCAGCGCAAAAGGGCCCCACGCCTGGCAGCCATACAACAGAATTGCTCGGACTTGGGTTGCAAAACACCGCATTCGCACATCGGGGGCAAACAGCTTCATTTTGTCCAGCTTTGCGCTTAAGGAAAACATAGCGGACCGACCTGTATCACACAACTGCTGACGGCACGCACTAAAAGGCCGTTCTGGCCCATATACCAAGCCAAGATAGCGAGCGCTATCTTTGGCAGGTACTACCTGGCCTGATAGCCGTAACTGTTGACATCTCCCGCTAAGTTCCGACTGCTGGGTGCCGTCACATGCAAAAACAAGCCTTTCACACTTTGAGACATTTGGTCGCATCCCAAAAGCTTCACAAAACAAGTCCACAAGATGTAGCAACTCAGACATTCGCTCTACTGACGTCGCTAGCAGACTAACGTCGTCTGCATACAACAGTATGGAGACGCGCTTGCTGTCCACAAGGGGTGCGTCACACTTACGTGCACCGGCTTCTACAAGGTCGTGAGTATCAATCAGATCGGCTAGTGTCTCGATGAAGAGTCCAAACAACTCCGTAGATAAAGGACACCCTTGCTTCACTCCTTGCTTAGACTCAAACTCTCCCCCCACTTCCTCATTTACCTTCATCACCATGGACACCTTCTCGTACGCTTTTCTCAGAGCACCTAGCATGGGGCCACTAATCCCCCTCTCCTGCAACCGAAGCCACATGTGCTCGCGAGGCACCCTATCAAAGGCCTTCTCAAAGTCAATCTGTACTATTATCAACGGCGGTTGTCCTGCGATCCGATGCCGCCTGACCAGGTGTTGCTTGACAAAGAGGTGGTGAGCAGTGCCAAAACCCCGCCTGAAACCCGCTTGGCATGGGTGCCGCAGGTCCAGTATTTCCCCAGCACGTACCAGGCGGTTAAGGATCACTGACAATTTATGTGTTTGTGGACAAACTCACCAAGATGGTTCGGTTTGTGTCCTGTAAAGCCTCTGTTGACTCCGTCAAAGCGGCTGAGATTTTCGTCAACACCATTGTGTGTTCGTATGGTGTTCCGTCTGTCGTCATTTGCGACAGGGATCCTAAGTTTACCTCTGCCTTTTTCGAGTCGCTTTTTGATGGATATCAAATCGACTTGCGTCGCAGTTCTGGTTATCATCCTTAGACGGATGGCCAAACGGAACGTGCTAATCGTGTTCTGGAGGATATGTTGCGTCATTTCGTTTCGGGCGATCAATCCTCCTGGTCCCGTTATCTGCCGATGGCTGAGTTCGCCATGAACAATTCGTTGCATGAACTACTCCTTTTCGGTTGATGTACGGATATGAACCCCTAACTCCGGCTTCTCACCTAGTTCGCAAATTGGGGGAGGAGAGGGCCAAGAAGCGCGAATGCTTTGGAACGAGCTAAGTCTTGCTTGGCTGCTGCTCGAGAACGGATGAAGAAATGGGCTCACAAAGGTCGCTCGGAACGAGGACTTTCTGTTGGTGATCGTGTACTCCTGAGTACGAAACATATGAATATTATGCGAAAATTGCTGCCTCGCTTTATCGGTCCCTTTGTGGTTAAGGAAAAGATCAACGCGGTTGCGTATCGGTTGGGTCTTCCTCCTGCGGTACGGATACATGATGTATTTATACTGGATTCACATGCTACGTTACGTTGCGAAAACTTTTAGGTAAAAGTGGCCCTGAGGAAGTCACCCAGTTCACACGGGACATTACGACGACGTTGTATTCGTTGGCGCGAGCTGTGTAAAACCATCTCCATTTTATGTCTTTCAATGGCCAAAACTTCAGAACATCCCCTCAGAATTGCAATATATATTTGAAGGGTGATTGGCAGCCCTGCCTACTGCAATGGCACTGCATCCCGCGCGAGCCGCGATGGCGTTTGCCCTAGCGGTCGCGCTGGATAAAATTTTTGATATTCTTGAAGATATGTTCAATGCTCAGTGGCAGAGATTGAGCGTGTGGGCCGACGCGGCGCGGCCCATGCCGCCGGAAGTGCGGCCGACTTGCCGTTTCGCGGGTGGCTTCAGCCCTGATACTACAATGGGTTACATATTGGCTATGCAAGCGGTCGTGAGCGGTCGAGCAACACGAGCGGCGTTATCCTTGTTCATTTTTATAATATAAGGCAGCGGTGTGACTAGAAATTCAGTCGGAGTGCAAAGCGCGCACAATTTGTCAAGTATGTGGTCTTTATAAGCGATTGGGCTTGGCCGTTTGTTATAACTCGCGAAATTGGCGACGCATTTCAAGTAACGGTACGAGGGGTCAGCGTTTGACGAAATTGAACCCCCCCTGGTCACTTTAGACTTTTCGTCCACTTTACCGGTAACGTACCGTTACCACGTCCGAACCGACCACTTTTTCCAAAAAGTTTCAACGTAACGTAGCATGTGAACTGGCTATTAATGTGTCACTCCTTCGTCCGTATCATGATGGTGATCGCGTTCAGCTACCTCCGCCACCTCAGATTCTTGAGGGGGAATTGGAGTTTGAAGTTGAGTCTATTCTGCTTCATAAAGAAGTGAGAGAAGGACGTCAACAGAAGCGTTTCTATCTAATGCGTTGGAAAGGTCAGGGCCCGGAATTTGATTCGTGGGAACCCGAAGTAAACCTAACTAACTGCGGTGATTTGTTGCGCGACTACTGGGCACGTCAATCTGACTCTGTTCCAACCTTGAAGTCCCAAGGTCAGGCGACACTTTCAAGTAACGCCGACACTTCTGGCTCGAAGCCGCATCGAGCTCCTCAGACTACTCGTCACGGCCGTGTGATCAAAAAGCCTTCGCGCTTCAATGCTTTTCTCAACCACTTGTCTGTCACCAGCGGGGTTCCGGAATCCCTGCTTTCTCCTCTCGTGTGGCGGTGAAGCCAAGGTTGGCTGGCTGTCGGGACGACCAGCAATTTAGGGGGGGAATGATGTAACGTGCAAGAGCAGTTACATATCTCTGAATGATTCTCTTCAAAGGGGTTCACGTAGCTATTCTCAAGACTTTCCTTTTTACGACGTCGTGCATTAGTGCGGGTCGTACACTGGATCGCTACATCTTCGCTGGTGTATCGCATCCGGTGTCTTTAGACACCACCTTGGCTGGTTGTGATAAGGATAAACGTGACATTGTTGGGCGCGAACCTGAATTAAATAGTCCCTATCAGCTGCTGTAGGAAAGCTCGTGTTTCAGCATTCGATGTGCGCGCCTTGCGCTCCGAAATGGGCCAAGCATTTCGGAAGATGCGAAAGGCTTCCTTTTTTGGGGTGTGCGTGTGCGTTACACCTTGAATTGCGCCACTCGCCGATTTTATGCAAGGTGCGCTGATGGCAGAGCTTTGGTAAAATTGCAAGTATCTCTGACGAGTCGGAGGCGGGGATCCAGGCAAAGGGGTAAAAGAAGGGACAGCTCCAGAGTTTTCAGTTTTGGATTCGTACTATTCGTACGCCCGCAGTGCGGTATCACAGTACCAGGTACTCCACTTCGAGGTCCAATCGTGTGGTCAATGTGACTAGGAACGGCAGCCTTCAGAAAAACTCCTTTGGTACGCTACTCTTTGACCACCTGCATCTTTCAAGTTTGACTAAAGTCCGTAATGTTTGCTCCTGCAAACATTTTACCCAAGTAGCGTAGAATGACGAGTAAATCCGTTGTAGAATTCATCGTCATCAAAAAACTTATCATCGCATTAGGAGGTACCGGTAAAGAGTACCGTCGTTGCTGGACGACACACCAGGGCTATAGCGGGCATCAGGTTCTCAATCAGCAGATAAGCGCTAAGGACGTGCAAACAAGCCTGCTCTGTACATAGCCTCCCACGTTAGCTTGTTACTGCGGCTTCCTGCACTTGTTATCGCTGCGGTCATGAAAAAGAGAGAGATGAAACACGTCAAAAGCTGAGTGGCGCGTCACTACGATGCCAGTGACCTGCATATCTACAGCGATCAGAGCGATAGTGACATGCCTTCGGTAGCGGAAGGCCTGATAGCCTGCTGGTCCCAGAACGCGGCGGCGGCGTTAACACCCAACAGACGGTATTATACGGGCACCAGTTGCACACGCGGCAGCGGCGCATCGGTAAAACTAGCAACTTGTTAGTTTTACCCGGTAGCTTCTGGAGTTTGAAACTCCAGAAAGTACTTATGCCGAACACGTACGTTCCCACGCCGTAACCCCGAGATGGGACAAAACCCCGCCTACTAATATTTAGCCTATTAAATGGTGTGAGGGTCCGTGTCCGTGTCCGTCTGTCATGGTCAAAAACTCAGCCGGCTTCACCAGAAGTATATCAAATAGAAAACCACACATGGAAAGATAAGTCTCAACAAGGTGGCAAAGCTGGAAATCCTCCACGGGCGCCGAGCCAGGTCCTTGTCGATCCGACGATCCAACCGTCCGTCCATACGTTGTGTACATCAATCGTAGTCGCTTCGGTTTTGTCGTACCGTATAGCACCGCTTCCTCCCCTAACCCTCTGACGCTCTGTCCCACATCGTCGTTGATGGTTACCGTTAACCGTTACCGTTACCACAACTTCTGCAGCCGTTGTCCAGTTCCTCCCTAGACACCCGGGACGACGCCGGTCGCCATGCTTACTTCTTGACCGACCTGCAGGGTACGACAGCCAGCACATTAAGGCTTCAGGTGTTGGCACGACCATGTCCCCTGTCCACATATCTCAAACTTCCTATAACAGCACTTTGTTGGGCTTTCCTTTATTTTTGCTTCTTCCGTTCATAATTTCGTAACGTGTGTATCGCCCTCCCAGGATGTGGCCGCCACCACGGATACCCACGAAGGATGGTAAGTCATGTCCTCCTGCGCCCGCAGGTCCACTCCCCATTCGATTTACCCAAAAAAAGGTGGCACCCCCCCCAAGACAGTGGAGGCCTGGGGGGCGGCTGAGCACCTTGCGGCCGCCGCAAAACACACACACCCTCTTGTGTCCGTGCCACGGCTGTTAGTCCCACATGCACAAGCGCGCTACAAATGAACCGCGATGTCAACAGCAGCAAGGCTGGCAGGCAAGGCTGGCAGGCAAGGCCGGTATGAGGAGGCACCGCACCCACCTGAAGCCCCCGAACTGGCTAAAATACGACTGCGTGCCGTCCTTGGTATCCAAATCCATGCCGAAGCGCGCCGAGGGGTTCTCCAGCTCAATACCCTGTACGGAAGTAGGTACGGCAGGCAGTTGGCAGGCCGGTAAGTCAGTAGGCAGCGGCAAGGCAGTAAGAGGGCAACTTATGAATCTTGTCCACGGGGGACACAGCTTTAGACTCTCGATATCGCTTTTATTCGCACGAACGCAGAGCTCGAGCCATTGCAATACATTCGCAATCCAGTGTCTCGCAAACCAGTGTTTGAGCTTGTAAAGGCCACCAAGCTAATACTGCAGTATGTCACTAACGCTAGAACTCAACGCAAACACAGACACGCGTACACACGTACACGCACACAAACACGGGCACGAACGTATACACGTCAGACTCCCCCGGGCTCCCGTGAAGAGTTTCCAAACAACATAAGTTCGTACATACACACGCATATACGCATGCACGGATATTGCCGCGTGCACTGACCTGCACAGGGGTGAAGGCCAGCGATGACGACAGACCGGACGTCGCGCCGCTGCTGCCGTACATTCGCGCCTTGAACTTCTTTTGCGCCTTGGCGCTGAGCTTCTGCTTCTGTTGCGACGCCACGATTCGCAACCTGCCGCTGCCCTCCTTGCCCAGCACACCCAACCCAATGACCTGCGTGAGAAAACACACATGCGTACTTGTAAGAACATTTATGTAAGAACAATTACAGACATCAATAAACAAACATACTTATTATCAATCAAATGATAATAAGTATCACTTCAAAGCGGAACCCAGAGCCCCACTCCCATTCGCGCCATCCCAAACAAAAACTCCCTTTCCCTGTTTGAAACCCCAAGAGCAGAACCATAAACCTACAGCACGACATGCCAAGCCAAGCCATGGCATGTCATGGCATGTGCGCAACAAATGCCGTACTTCCGTACACCGTACACCCCACTTACGTCGTCTCCGTCCACCCACTCCTCCTCCGCCTGGTTGAACATCATCCGATTCGCCGCCTTGCGCATATCCGTTAGCCCGTAGCGCTCCTTCATCTTTCGAAGTCTTCGGCCCCCGCGTCGCTTTTTCGCCTGCGGAAATACAGCACAACACACAACAGAACACACAACACAAAACAGACAAAACAAAACACCAGTACGACGTTAAGTACTATCCCGACCATTTACGAGCTACTATCTCTTTAACACCTATTCCTGACAAGTACCCCCCGCCCAAGGAGGAGGATTCCAAGCTCAGCATCAGCTCAGGCTCACGGATTTCCCTAGAGCACATTCTCTCTTCTTGTCGTTGGATACGATGATAATTTCGCAAACCCTAAGCCTCACATTCCGTCGCGTCACTTTTTGACGCTAGAATGTTGTTGTACCATCTTCCGCCCTCTCAAAACGCCCCAAACGTTACAAATATACCTGCGCGAAAAGATGGAGCCAGTTTTTGCGAAACCCTAGCCCGGCCAGCCCACCCCACGAGCTCCGAAACACCCCAATCGAAGCGGGCCCAACTCGACCCGTCACATCATCAGCCCGACCCGACCCGACCCTGACCTCCGCGTCAGGCACTGGCAGCGGCTTGGCCTGCTTGGCGGGTGGCGGCTCCTGCCACTTCTCCACCTTCCGTACCACCTCCGCCTTCATGGCCGCCCCGTAGGTGCCCTAGGACAGCAACAGCAATAGCATAAGGCAATAGCAACAGCAATAGCATAAGGCATAAGGCGGAGGCAGAGGCGGCAACGCGCTCCGTTGCCACACGGCAACACATGAAATCTGCATCTGCATCACCGGCCGATACCCGGGCCGATAAACGGGCTCTCGTGGTAACACAGCGAAACCATACCGTGCCGAGCAAGAGTGAGGGGGGAGCCTCAAACCTACAGCCCTAAACCTCTCACCGATGGGTCCTCCCCGTATGCGTCTTTGCGGGCCAGCAGTGCGCTCTTAGACGCGATGAGCCTTATCGCCTTGTTGCGCAGGGAGGGGGGCGTCTGGGTCACAATGGGGCAGCCGCTGATGAAGCCCTGGTGCGGCTGGGTGGTGGTGGAGCTGAACCCAGCTAGCGTCTTGCGCTTGGCGCCCAGGGACTGCATTTGGGTTTGCGAGCGGGGGTGATGGTTGGTGGTTGTGGTGGTAGAGCCGGGTGGGCGGGACTTGGGCGATTGAAAAGGGCGATGAAGGGCGATTGCGTCATTATTACTCCAAACAAAAACTCCGACGATTGGTGGTTTGGATGGTCGTCATCACAGTCGCAGTTGGTGGTCTTTTCGTTCTTCTGCAAATATCTCTCCTGCACTCCAAACCCCCACGTATACCCCTCAACCCTCCATACACATACATACACACATACACATACATACATACATACATACATACATACATACATACATACATACATACATACATACATACATATACTCACCTGAATGTTACACGCCGGCATTCTAGACAGCGCCAACAGGCCCCCCGCCACACCCATCAACTTGGCCGCAATCTCCGTGCCCACCACCGCCGACATGTTGGGGGCCACCTGGTTCATCTTGCTCTCCACAAACTGCAATATCTGCGGGGACCAGACACGGGGGCCGGGGGGTCGGGGGCCGCACTTGAGTCTCCCCTGAGCTCACACCGCCGTGCGTGTGTGTGTGCGTGTGCGTGTGTGTGTGTGTGTGTGAATGTATATTTGTATGTGTGGTGTGTTTTTCCGACGACACAGCCCGGGGAATAATCACGCCTTGGCACTGCGCAACGGCCCGCCATCCGGCGTCATTGTCGTACACATGCACATGCACCTTGAGTTACATCCGCCGTTCCCTCTGTACTTCTCCCTTTCCCCCCATTGCCCCCAAACGGAGGGTACTTGTCGTACCGTGCGTTTGTCCTCGTCCAGCTGTACGGCCATGTCGCATCCCGCCATCACCCGACCCAGAGCCTCGTCGTCCAGGGGCTTGCCTGGGGTTGGTAGTTGGTAGTTAGGTGGTTTGTGGGGAGGGAAAAAGACAGCCAGTAAGGCGGGCTGCGTGGAGAGAGGAGCAGGAGCAGGAGAAGGAGCAAAAGGAGAGGGTAGATACCGCGGCGGAGATATCTGAATAGGAAAAGAAAAAACACATCGTGCCTACATCCTCCCTCATATTCTACCCCCCTTAAACCTCCCACCCGTACTCTCCTGTTTCCCCTTCCCCGCTAATCCTGCCCCCTGCCGTACCCACCCGACGTGGTAGTTGCTGTAACCGTAACTACCATGACCGTTGCCGCCGGCAGCATATCGTCCAACGGCACCAACGTCAAATCCATCTCATTGCCAATTCGCTGAACCACACGCGCATAGTCCAGCGGGTGGTGAACCAGGGATTCCAGTTCCGGAAACTTTGGTCGGTACTTGTCGCGAATGAAGTTGTGTACGACGGCAATTTCGTTATCAATGTCGACGGCAAGGCGGTTGCACTCCACGAGTAGCCTGACGGGGTTTTGGGGGCCATGGAGATAATGATGATGATAACGATGGTTATGGTTATGGTGATGATGATGATGATGATGATGGTCATGATGATGATGATGATGATGATGGTCATGATGATGATGATCACGATCATTATGATGATGATGAATTATGCTCAGTTCAAAAGGCCCATTTCCAGCACAACACCCCCACCCACTACTCCGAACAGCTCGGCTCACACGATCTCACTCACTTGTACGTGGGATCCTCCTCCAGGGGCCCGGAGGATCTCCGATCTCCCCCGTTGGCGCCGGTGGTGGAGGTGGAGGCGGCTTCAGACAGAGCCGCACGTACTCGCTGAGCGTGGATCGGGAAGGGGGGAGGGGAGGGACGAACCGCAGACGAGCGGGGGTTGGAGGGGGTTGGAAGTTGGGGGCGGGAGAGAAATGGGCGCAAAGTCAATGGAAAGGGATGGCGGGGGGTTCCTGCGGGTGCCGACACGAGGCACTCCTCCGTCCTCCCATACACAGCCGTGGCTTCTTAGCTCAGCCGTAGTGCTGAACGAAGGGTGCGAAAAATGCTGAATTCAGTCGTGCATCTACGGGGGGTAAGAATGTGTCTCGGTTGGCCTTTTTGGGGGAGACGTCTATTCCGGACACGGCGCGCCAGGCTGTGGTCGGCATACGTTTGCGTCGGGGTTGTTGAAGGGCGCGTGTCCGGGCGCGTGTCCCGGGGTGTTTGGGTGTTACGGGGGTAACGGGATAGGAGGGTTTAGGGTTGTTAAGATCGCGCGAATGCGCGAACCGCACCTGCGCCAGCTTACCTGGAGGACGTCGCTGTACCGTGGTTCGCTCGTGAGCTTTGCCACTGCCGAGAGGTCGTCAAAGTTTAGCGCCTCGATGTCGTCCATCTGGGGAGGAAAGGTGGGCGGCGAGGAGCGGGGATATCGGGAGGGGCATTACGTGAAGGTGCATAGGGGGGGGTCATATGCAAGAAACTCAGAAATGAAAAGGGGGAAGCTGCCGGCCGTGGTCAGACAGGGGTGCAGGGCAAAGGTGGGCCACAGTGCGCAGCAGCGCCGTGCATGTCTGTGGCCTAAGGTGGATGGTAAGTTGCTTTCTTGCATCACCAACGTTTATGCTAAGAGAGGGCAGGGTTAAGGGAATCGGGAATCTGGATGCTCGACTCACCCCGTCATCGGCTTCCTCCTCCGACTGCTCTGTCTCAGGCCCCGGCTCATCCTCTGACAGATCTTCCAAGTCTGCTAGGAAGCTCTCAGCAAGAGTCGCCATGTCGGCCTACGGATATCGGCCTGAGACAAGTGAATTCTCCTGATCAGATGAAAAGTAAGGTTTGTATATGACTGTCAACTACTTTCGCAGATTCACAGCTAAAGTTAGGTCACTTTACGTAGGAACTGAAGCTACAATCCGCCTCCAGGAAAACTCGTTACGAGCAAGATACCCGTCGTCTAAAATTTAGCAACAATCTAAATGAGTGTTCTGCTGCGTTAACATTTCCGATGAAACGGTAAACTGCTCCGTACAGAAACTACCTTCCCTCGAAACCCCATAGCCTATGCCTTGCCTGTTTGCTGCTACTGAGCCGCAAACGCTTGCAAAGTAAGCGGACTGTTGGCTACGCTATTAGTTTGATACAGCTTTCTGAGCTGGTTCGTGACGATGAGGCTACAGTCTGTACCCGGTCCAGTTGTGATATTGCTGTGCATCTTTTCATTTATATTTGGACGCTTTACCCAGCAAGGCACACAACTACCGGAGCCCACGCCGGTGCAGGTAAAGGACTACCTGTTGCTCACAGCTCTCCAACCGAGCAATCGCTTGGCGCCCGACAAAGCGCTACCTTTCACCGCTTCCAAACATCCTGTTCAAGCACTAGATTCCCTTTTGTACCCACATCACTGCGCATCTGCCCGTGCTGACCAAATGCGCAGTTGACCGGGGCGGTGCGCAAGCTGGGCGCTGTGGACGAACGCGTCGCTTCAATCACTCAGGAGTCTTCACGTGAGACTCAGCAGCAGCAATCGGCGCAGGAGCAGGCCACCGCCCTTCTTCCTTCCCCGCAAGTCAGCGTCAACCCCTTAGACCCCGTTCAGCTTGAAAAATGGGTCCTGGACAGTTCGGGGCTGCTCAAGATACGGCCACCCTTGCCCGCGGCAGAGTCCGGCTCCGACAATGTCTACGTAATCCCCTTTCAGGTACACACGACGGAATGTCATATGCTCGTACACACACATAAACCAACCGTCCAAAACCGTTCAGCATCATCTTTGCGCTTAGGGCAATGTCACAGCCTGTGGGATCTAATCGGGGCGCGACTATTGCTGGTTGGAAACCTATTCCTTCCCCGTCGGTCGTACCCTTTCGGGACATTCCGCAATATCTGTTCAACACCAGCGTTGATAAAGGAAGTCACAACACCGTCCTTGTGCCTTGGCGCTCACTGCGGAGGATGACAATGCCAAGCGGAGGAGGGCTCGGGGTTCTTGGGGGCTCGGGGAGCACGCCGCTAGCGAGGAGTGGACCGGAGCCCAGGACTGCGGGGCCGCTGCATCCGACCAGCTGCATGGGAAGGGGGAACTGGCTGTTTTGGAACTCCTTCGCGAGGGGGGACCTCTCACTCCTTTTTCCGTTGGCACTTGCTTTCATTGGTTCATCCCACAGTGGTAAATCTCTTCCCCTCCCCCCTGCCCTGCTTCCCCCCTCCCCCTGCCCTGCTTCCCCCCTCCCCCTGCCCTGCTTTCCCCCTCCCCCCTGCCCTGCTTCCCCCCTCCCCCCTGCCCTGCTCCCCTCTGCCTCTCAGATTCTCTCCTGGTATCCCCGCGTAGTGGTGTTCCCTGGATTCATTGATAAGGCCCGCGCCGAGTATGTCATCAAATTGGCCTCCAAATTCATGTACCCCTCGGGACTGGCGTACAGGTACGGCCGGGCAGAGCAGGGGAGGGGAGGATGAACAGCAACAGTGTTGCCTGTGCCTGCGCATATGATGACCCCTCACCCTTCCCCTCCCCCCTTTTACACCTTACCCTGCTTACGGTCGGGGATGCATGCCGGACTAGGCGGTTTTCTCCTCTCCTCTACTGCTCCTTTCCTCTTCCTCCTGCTCGCCCCTTCCTTACCTTCCCGCCGGTGAACCCCGCACCCCCTCAGGCCCGGGGAGACGGTGGACCCCTCGCAGCAAACCCGCACCAGCACGGGCACCTTCCTGGCAGCTGCCATGGACCCCGAGGGCGTATTGGGCTGGGTGGAACAGCGCATTGCCGCAGCTACGCTACTGCCGGCCGAAAATGGAGAGGTGAGGGAGCCTGAGGCTGCTCCAAAAGTGGGAGACGTGGCGAGGGCGGGGCAGGGCAGGTGGGGGGGCAGGGTACCTGGTGAAGCAGCTGTCAGACCCGTGTCAGACTGCCAACTCCCTCCTTACCTCCCACAAAGACCGGCTATGCCGGGTATCTGCTTCACTCGTCTGTGGTTCCTCTTCACCCCCAAGGGCCGGTGCACACGGAGGACCCGGGGTCTCCCCAGTCTCCCCTTCCGCCTCCTCCTCCCTCCGGAAGTCCCTCCCTGGGAGAATAGGGGGAGGTTTCCGAGTTACATATTTGGAACACTACTGCCATGAGCGGTCCTGGGTTCGATTCCTGGGGAGAACCCCGGCATTGTCCTGCCTAGCGTGGACCCTCCCTTTCAGTGCATGTAGTTTTTGATGTTGTACCGTCTTTAATGGCACAATTTCTGATATCTTACCCTGTTTCCGACTTTGGCGATAATTACCGCCTTTGATGCCGCTACCACCACCTTCACCGCCACTATCACTACCATCTGTAGGGCCCGCTGCATCTCCACTGCCAAGCTCCAGTTATTCCCAACCCCCAACCCCACACTCCAACACCAACCCCACCCGCTCTGTGCACCACAGGCCTTCAACGTGCTCCACTACGAAAAGGAACAGCACTACGACTCTCACTACGACACTTTCGACCCCAAAGAGTTCGGGCCGCAGCCCAGTCAGCGCATCGCCACGGTATTGCTGTACCTGTCTGAGGTGCTGGAGGGCGGAGAGACGGTGTTCAAGAGGGAGGGAGTCGATGGTGGGCTGGGCTGGGGAAGGGAGGAAGGGACGGGGGAGGCTGTGGGCGTGGGGAGGGGTGGGCGGTTGCCTCATGTGCAGGACGTGGGGATGTTTGGTGACTGGGGGTGGGGAGTTAGATCTTTAGTTGATTTGGATGGAGTGAGTGACGTGACAGTGGTTTGGGGGTTCGCTGTGCGTCCTTCTGGGGCGTATGCATCATTATATCCATCTATGAGGCTTAAGTTTCCCACAAATTACACAGTTACCCCTTTTTGTACTCTTATTACCCCCATATTCTATTGTCTGCCTAACAATCTGTCTGCCAGTCTGTTTGAGCAATCTGTCTGCCAGTCTGTTTGAGCAATCTGTCTGCCAGGTTTCTGCCAAGCTGTATGTCATCATGTTTGTCTGTCTATCCCCACCGCCTTGCCCCGGCCGCAGGCGAGAACCGCGTCATCGGGGACTGGCGAAATTGCGACGATGGCTCCTTCAAGTACATGCCGCGGATGGGCGACGCAGTCCTGTTCTGGGGCACCAAACCCAACGGTGACATTGACCCGCATGCGCTGCACGGTGGATGTCCCGTCAAGCGGGGGGAGAAGTGGGTAGCGACCAAGTGGATTCGGTCCCGGGGCGCCAAGGGCTACTAACGGTACTAACGGTAATGACTGTGAGATGGTCGGCATGTCGATGGTGGAGGATGGCGGCGGTGATGGTCCAGGTGATGGTCGTGTGTGTGGGGGGGGCCCCGCAGGTGTGCCATGGTGATGGAGTGTGCATGGAAGAGGATGACCAGTATCATTAGGTTTAACGATAATAGCATTAATTTTGCTGTTATTGTTGTTTTTGTTATTGTTGTTGACACTGTGATTGTGATGAGATTATAACGAGATGTGCAACATCCCCGGTTGATACTGCTTTTTGATGAGGGTGAGAGATTGTTTTTCTGGGGAATCCATTTCCCCGCATCCCTATATGTGTGTCTATGTGTTTTGGGATCAATCCACCTCACACGCCACATCACAGGAGAGAGAGGAAGGGGAGGAAAGGACGGCTCCATAGGTTTCAAGGAATAATGCAGGGAAGGAGGGAAAGGAAGGGAGAGGGAGAGGTGTGGGGTATGGCCGCTGGGGCTTGTGCAGTGGTGAGGTGGTGGTGAGGGGTTTTGGAGACCCCTAGTTACGACTGGTAGGGGTCGTCAGACGGAGGGGTACCTGCAGGCAGGAAAGTTGCGTGGGAGGGGGAATGTCCCCAACAAGTTGAGTGTGATCATCATGTAGTAGTCGTAGTAGTAGTAGTAGTCGTAGTATCGTGGTGGAAGCACGGGCGGTCCACCATGTTTGGAAGCGGCTTTCCGTGCGCTGCACTGCACAGGGGGGGGGAGAGTGTTTTAACCTGGTTGGGAAGGTCGGGGGGGGGGAGATGGCGTGTAGAGTGGGCATTACCGAGGTTGCCGAGGGAGAGGAGGGAAGGAGGGTTTTGGTGGGGGACCCATTCCTGCAACGATCCATTCGGAACTTTCCTGAGAGCGAGTTCGGGAGAGAGTTGGGGGGGGATGGCTGTGCGTTGAGCCCAGCCGGGTTGGGGCTGGCGGCCCGATAGCCAACCAGAGGTGCGAGAGTGGGAGGGAGGTGGGGAGGGAGCATGGGATGTCGGCAGTCCTGCTCATAAGCCATCAAATTCCTGAGGCCTTTGGGGGATTTGCGATGGCTGCAAGGAGGGAGGTTAATATCCTCGTTGAAGTCCACGAGTGTAACAGCCGTCCCTTACCTTAGGCGTATTGTTGTTGTTGTTACACGGTCGTGGGTGCGTTCCCCGTACCTGCAAACCATCCTAATACGAGCCGAGGGCTCAAGGGCTGCCAGATCGCCTATAAGCACCAGGCGTATTAGCGGAAGTCTTGAGTTGCAAGGCCGTGGAAGAGGAGGGTCTCGACCACGAAGGGTGGCTTAGCGTTGGACGCGAGAAAAGACACGGGAAGTCGGAGTTCGAAGACATACGTCGAGAACGGTGACAGCAAGGTCTTGAACCCTGAACACTAGTATAGTGATACGGAAGTGCCTGGCCGAAGCACTTCACCAGGATGGCTTAAATGCGGACCCCCCAGCGTTTTTTATTAAGTACTATATTACTTAAAAGGAATAACCAGGCATTTTGGCCTTTGGAAAAAAGGAATGAATTGAGGCCGACCCGTACATTTTCATTTTAGCCAAAAACATCCATTGCTGCCAGATTGCTCCGTAGTGTGCAGAACTTAGAATTTTCAATTATAGAACAGATATGAGGGGCCGTAAGAAGGTCAAGCCCGTGAGTCAACGCAGCATAGCAGAATGTATGACCGGTCCTCACATAGCCAAACACGCAAAAGGCAACGACTCGAACATCGAACAGACACCAGAACAGCAAGATAAGCCTGAAAATTTCCTGGTAAAGGCGTTTGAGATGGCGATGCTGTTGTCGGCAATGCATCGGCCATGGTGTTGCTGCCAGGGACGACCGATGACACGGGCGCCATTACCCCTGCCCTCCATGGCGGGTGTAATCAGGATAAGCGCAAGCTATCGCCTAATCGGCACGACAACAGCAGTGAATGCGGTGCGGCCGGCGATCCATTCCAGGCGCCCAACCCGAGCGCTCGCCGTGCCATGCGGGCTCAGACAAAGCGCATCCGCAAGGGCCAGAGCGACGGTGTATGGCGGGACAAGCAGAAAGAGAACCCCCACAGATGGCATGAGGTGAGATGTAACTTATGGGGGGGGTCTGGGGGCCTCACACTTAAGGAATGAATTATGACGACCCTAGCAACTTTGTTACTTAGATTGGAATAAATTGAGACCCGCCCTAAACGAAAAAAATTACTGGGCTGTGATAGCGCAACAGAAAGTGAGTTCATACAGTTAACGAGTATGGTTCGCAACTATGGGACTGTACTGTTACTGAGATTAAGCTTTAATAGTTAAATGGTAAAAGGTAAATGTAGCTTGTTACATCCCTCCCCCTCAGAAGCGAACCGTCCCGGGAGCGTCACCTTTTCTTGCGAGCAGGTGCTTTCCGTTTCGGTTGTTCTGGGGTAGTGTTCCGGGGTGCTACCGAAGGAAAGGTGGTCAGGACCACTTTCCTTTTTGGTGTAGGTTGCCCGGATTTTGCCGCCAACCGTCGTTCATAGTCGTCAGTAGCTTTGGCCAGGGGAACGGACTGACGCAGGGAATCTTCCGGTTCATAGGTGTTATGACTGGAGTCATAGCCTTCCCATTTAACCAGATATTCCCGACGTGTTTTGCCGGTTCCACCTCGGATTTTCACATCACGATGGTGGAGTAGTGCCTCAACCACGTATTATGGCTCTTCATCAATTATGAAGGGGGGCGGCTGTTGTCGTGTTCCATCGTCCTTGAATGGTTTGAGCAAGGATACGTGGAAGACCGGATGGAGTAACCCCAATTTTACCGCGTTCCCACAACCTTATACGGCCCAATAAACTTAAGCAATACTTTCTTGGCTCCAGGAGATTTCAACTGGATGTCGCGGGTGCTGAGCAGCACGGATTCCCCAACCTCAAATTGCACCGCACGGCGGTGCTTGTCGACGACATTGCACTGGCGTGATTGCGCACTGTTTTGCATTTTCAATACGTTTGCTTATGGCCTTGGGATAGAGGTCAGGGGCAGGCACTTCCGTATCACTATACTAGTGTTCAGGGTTCAAGATCTTGCTGTCACCGTTCTCGATGTATGTCTTCTAACTCCGACTTCCGTATCTTTTCTCGCGTCAAACACTAAGCCGACCTTCGAGACCCTCCTCTTCCACGGCCTTGCAATTGAAGACTTCCGCTAATACGCCTAAGGTAAGGGACGGCTGTTACACTTTGGTATCGAGATCATTTGTTCGGTCCTCACCTCACATTGCGCCGCAGCCGTTACTATCCAATTGTCTGAGTCTTAGACTCGACATTTCGGAAAATGGTTCCTAAGACTATAGCTAAGACTAAGGCTGTCTCTTTGAGCGATGCTGAGCAAGTCCTTATTGTGCGAATTCCTTGTGATGCTACAACCGCTTCGGACCCACTTCGCGTTGCGAAAATTAACAAGCGCAAATTAAGGGAACAATCCTTCACTGCGCTTCGTAAACACTTCTCCTCTGTCCCTGTTGACAATGACCTTCAGGACGAGATGGCGCCCACTGATAACTGATAACTTCCCTCGACACTACGGGCAATGATGCGGTTGACATTACCGCGGCAGTCCCCAAAGCCAAAGCGCCTGGCACCTTACCAGCGAATTTGGTGGAGACTTTGCGTGAGTCAGTGCCAAACCGCGTCAGCACCTTGGAGCGTTCCCTGGAAGGAACACATCAGGAGATGGCAGAAATTCGTGAAGACATCCTATCATTACGGAATTCATCACAGCGTGTGGAGACGCAACTTCAGGAGTTACTCTCCAAGCTGTCCACGCCCTCCAGCCCACCACCTCCCAATCCACGGTCCGTGGCCATTTGCAGGATTATCCAGCAATTGGCTTCATCTTCCTTGGCCGGCATCCTGTCAATGGAGAGCCTCCAGGTCACCGCTTTTCAGGCGGCCCTGGACTCCCTGACTATCGAGCCAGAAATCACCTTAGAGGAGGTCGGTGCGGTAGAAAGCGGCCCTGGTGGTAGCGCTACGGATTCCGACTCTGCATGGCCTGCACTACAGCCCACGGGCAAAACTCTGTGTACCGAGGTGAGTACACAGAAACGCGTTCCGCTCCCCCCAAAATTTTCGGGAAAAAGGGATACGCATATTACTTGCACCCAATCCTGTTTCGATTTGCTTTTGTAATATTTTGACTTGATGCAAATGGACCCGTTAGAGCACTTTGTGTACTTAGTATTGGGCAAAGCTCAGGTCTGGGCCACGGACATATGGGCAAAAAGCTTTTGACGCGTGATTCTTTACATGCTGCTTTTTCGTTGCAGTACAGTGATATGCAACACAATATGGCTATGGCCACACATGATTGGTTGCATACAATATCATGAAAACGTTGAGTATATTCGGGCACTGATCATGTGCGGCCATAGCCGTGTTGCGTTGCGTATCACCGTATTGCAACAAAAAGGCAGCACGTAAAGAATCACGTGTTAAAAGCTTCTTGCCCGATCTGTGCTCCCCGAAAATGTCCGTGGCCCAGACTTGAGCTTTGCCCGATACGAAGTAGACAAAGTGCTCTAACGGGTCCATTTGCATTAAGTCAAAGTATTGCAAAAGGAACTCGAACCACGATCGGGTTCAAGTAATATGTGTATCTCTTTTCCCCGAAAATTTTGGGGGAAGCGGAATGCGTTTCTGCGTACTCACCTCGGTACGCAGCGTTTTGCCCGTGGGCTGTAGTGCCGGCCGTGCAGAGTCAGAGTCCGTAGCGCTACCACCAGGGCCACTTTCCACCGCACCGGTGTCCCAAAGCTTCCGGACCTCCGCTAAGGTGATTTCTGGCTCGATGGTCAGGGAGTCCAGGGCCGCCTGAAAAGCGGTGACCTGGAGGTTCTCCATTGACAGGATGCCAGCCAAGGAAAATGCAGCCACTTGCTTAATAATCCTGCAAATGGCCACGGACCGTGGATTGGGAGGTGGTGGGCTGGAGGGCGTAGACAGCTTAGAGAGTAACTCCTGAAGTTGTGTCTCCACACGCTGTGATGAATTCTGTAACGATAGGATGTTGTCACGATTTTCTGCCATCTCCTGATGCGTTCCTTCCAGGGAACACTCAAAGGTGCTGACACGGTTTGGCACTGACTCCCGCAAAGTCTCCACCAAATGTGCTGGTAAGGTGCCAGGCGCTTTGGCTTTGGGAACTGCTGCAGTAACGTCAACTGCATCATTGCCCGTAGCGTTGAGGGCAGTCGCAACGTTATCAGTGGGCGCCATCTCGTCCTGAAGGTCATTATCAACAGGGACAGAGGAAAGGTATTTTGCATGTATTTCGGGATCATTTTGCCACCTTGTTAAACGCAGGAGTTGGGGAGACGGGTGTTGAAGATGCACATCGACTCCTTAACTATATCTCCTTTTTGGGGGCCCCTTTGGGAGAGGGTGCTTGGCAAGCATGTCGGACTGTCATGGACAGGAGAGCATGGGCAGCTAGCATCCTGGATGAGCTGTTCACCTTGGAGGAGGTAGCGCGTGCTGTCGGTTGGTTACCAAACGGAAAGGCTCATGGGCTTGAGGCCATACCATCGGAATGTTACTGTTATGCACGCCTCCCACGGGTGGATGAGCAGGGCGGCAGGGAACGGAGGTGAACTGTATCATCCCAGTGCTGCACGTTTTGTTAGAGCACATCAGGGCAACTGGTGATTTTCCACAGCAGTTTACCAAAACGGTGGTATCCCCAATTTTGAAAAAGGGTGACCCGTTGGTGGCAGGAAATTATCGGGGCATTGCAGTTGGAGGAGCACTTGTGAAGTGCTATGCATCACTGATCCTTAACCGCCTGGTATGTGCTGGGGAAATACTGGACCTGCGGCACCCATGCCAAGCGGGTTTCAGGCGGGGTTTTGGCACTGCTCACCACCTCTTTGTCAAGCAACACCTGGTCAGGCGGCATCGGATCACGGGGCAACTGCCATTGATAATAGTACAGATTGACTTTGAGAAGGCCTTTGATAGGGTGCCTCGCGAGCACATGTGGCTTCGGTTGCAGGAGAGGGGGATTAGTGGCCCCATGCTAGGTGCTCTGAGAAAAGCGTACGAGAAGGTGTCCATGGTGATGAAGGTAAATGAGAAAGTGGGGGGAGAGTTTGAGTCTAAGCAAGGAGTGAAGCAAGGGTGTCCTTTATCTACGGAGTTGTTTGGACTCTTCATTGAGACACTAGCTGATGTGATTGATACTCATGACCTTGTAGAAGCTGGAGTACGTAAGTATGACGCACCCCTTGTGGACAGCAAGCGCGTCTCCATACTGTTGTATGCAGACGATGTTAGTCTGCTAGCGACGTCACTAGAGTGAATGTCTGAGTTGCTACATCTTGTGGACTTGTTTTGTGAAGCTTTTGGGGTGCGACCAAATGTCTCAAAGTGTGAAAGGCTTGTTTTTGCATGTGATGGCACCCAGCAGTCGGAACTTAGCGAGAGATGTCAACAGTTACGGCTATCAGGCCAGGTAGTACCTGCCAAAGATAGCGCTCGCTATCTGGGCTTGGTATATGGGCCAGAACGGCCTTTTAGTGCGTGCCGTCAGCAGTTATGTGATACAGGTCGGTCCGCTATGTTTTCCTTAAGCGCAAAGTTGGACAAAATGAAGCTGTTTGCCCCCGGCGTGTGAATGCGGTGCTTTGCAACCCAAGTCCGAGCAATTCTGTTGTATGGCTGCCAGGCGTGGGGCCCTTTTGCGCTGGCAGAGGTCGTGGACAGGGCGGGAAGCAGCGTTATTTTTTTGCGGAATATATTCCGAATTCGGAATAAAAAAATGTTCGTGGTCCTGAAAGTTAGGAATAAATAATGTTCCAACCGTACAAGTTCATTCCGCCAGCCAAAAATGGACTGTCCATGCCAAAGCTGCTAGAATCTTACAGGAGACATACATGTTAACCATATCATAGTACTTTAATACCATGGATACTGTTAGGAAGCTCACGCCCGAAAGTCAACGAGGAATCGGACTGTTTCTGACTGGACCAAACGCTGCAAATCATTCGGACCCGAAGCTCCCAAAGCATTGAAGGCCATTAAAGCAGATACTAATTTCCACTGAAGCCATTAGCGACGTTAATGAAGACGGTGTAGGGGTCGTAGGCAATGTGGACACAATGCTGCAGCCAGCCGACGACAATGACGCCACTCCGGTTGTCAACAGCGAGCGGGTCAAACATCAATGTTCCTCATATGGATACAATCGCGATGGGCCAGTAAACAGGTT